TGTGCCCATCGATGTTTAGACAGGAGAGGTTTCCAAGTTTTCTAGCTCAGTCATGCTTATCTTCCAAATCATCTTAATCATCCAATGTCAATTTGATATTCAACAATGCCGAATCGCAAGAAAGTGGTTTGTAGTAGAATCTCAGAATAGGCTCAGTAGCCACGTTAATTAGATGTAATGCTGTGATCTGAAGGGTTAATGTCTCGGTAATGACGGGACTACCACGCCACTTCAGCAAGTTACGATGAGTCGAAGATGGATTTCACCTTGCAAAATTAAGTGTGATGGTTATGATAAACTTGGACGAGGTGGAATGGAGGGGGAGAGGGTAATATCACGTGATATTATGACTGTGATCCGTGCCCGATTAGTCTTGCCCCTCTCAATCCACTTTTGCAAGTCACTTCACATGCGCGAGTACAAACATACCACATAGCACCGACACCAAACATTACCCAGACATTACCCTCTAATGAGCTTCGACAATTTGTAATCGATTTTGAGCTTCAAATTATCACCTTGTTCCACAAACAGCCGGTATACCGCTTCTTGCATATCCGTACACGATTAACTTTCAAAAGAAATGGCTTCGTTTGATAATCAGGGTGTGACCTACTGTAAGGGGTAAGCGATCTGCAACCCCATCGGTACTCACTACACCGTGGAAATATACAATCCGCCAACTAACTAAATCAAACATAAGCTTTCAATTTCCATGCACGGAAGAAAACCCCCATACCCCACCCTTCAATCGGCCACCGGGAGTGTGTCCTCATCCGGCAAAACCAAGGGTGATGAATTATCCAAGCCGATATATCACCTTCGCTTCTCCTTCCTATTACATTCAAGCCGATTTAGGACCCGCTTACAATCTATTGTCTCCGAGATATATTATCCACACGGTACTTCTACAACGTGAAGAATCACCACGTTTTTTTCTCGGTCATGGGTTTCCTCTTGTAGAATGTAGTAGGTAAATACATGGGAATGTATATCACGAGTGATAAATGCCAATCTTCAACGACCAATGGAAACGTGCCCAGAGAAGTTTTTCCGATTGGGGATATATCCAAGCGGGTGTTTATCATGAATATGGAATTCGGATAGTCATGAGCTTTGAATAGTGGGCGGCTGGGTCTGTGTTCTCAATTGGTCTCACCAAATCAATCCAGGGTATAGATACCGAAGATTAAAAATATAGTTATAGAATCCTCCATAATCTTTCCTGTTGGCTGCGGAAATCCTTCTTACGTTCATCGATCATTCTCTTTCTTCTCAGTTGCAAGGGATATCCAAACATACTTCATCATGGTTGCTTTCTCAAGATCATTACAGCTTTCCCTTTCGGTTTTGGCATCTACAGTCGTTGCCATCCCTACACCATCACAGCTTGAATCTCGGGCCGTTATCGATTCCGATGCCGTTGTAGGATTTCCTGAAACTGTGCCTAGCGGATCAGTAGGAACAGTTTATGAGACATATCAACCATATCTTAAGATCGTCAATGGTTGCGTACCATTCCCTGCTGTCGATGCATCGGGTAACACAGGGTATGTCCTTATAGTTCTCTCTTCCACACCATCTATATCAAGTCTCTAACATTTCTTAGTGGTGGTTTGGCACCAACTGGCAGCAGCAATGGTATGTGCAGCAGTAGTACTGGTCAGGTATACGTCCGAGGAGCACAAAGCGGATCATACTACGGTATCATGTACTCCTGGTAAGTTTTCTCTAAAGTTCTCTTCACAAATCCAAACTAATAAAATCCTCAGGTACATGCCAAAAGATGAGCCCTCGACCGGTATTGGTCACCGTCACGACTGGGAAGGTGTAATCGTCTGGCTCTCCAGTTCAACCGCCACAACCGCCAGCAACATCGTAGCCGTCTGTCCCTCCGCCCATGGAGGCTGGGATTGTTCCACCGACGGTTACTCTCTTTCTGGTACCAGCCCTCTTATCAAGTACGAAAGCATCTGGCCTATCGATCATTCTATGGGTCTTACTAGTAGTGTTGGTGGACAACAACCTATGATTGCTTGGGAATCTTTACCTGCTGCTGCACAAACTGCTCTTGAGACGACCGATTTCGGCGCTGCGAATGTTCCTTTCATTCCATCTGCTTTCGCAAATAATCTTGCCGCTGCTACTTTCTAGACTGGATGTCTTTCTTTATGAATATTGGGGGCTATACTCTGGGAGTACTCTGGCTTTTCCCTGTGTAATGTTTGATGCTTGATATTTGATGAAGACGTTGGGATGTAATCACGTCACTTCAATTTAATGAAAATTTTATTGTTTACACATGCTCATCTTTGTGGTCTTATGTGATTATAGGGCTTGAGGTTGCAGTTGACTTTTAGATTACTACAACGATTTGAAGATATGCCGGCCTGGGATGGAAAGGAACCTGATTCCCATGTGATCATCAACAAAACCGCTCTGTCAATCACTCTTCAATGTCCCGACTCGAACTCGACGATGAACAATCTCTGATATCTCACTTGGTATTCAAAATTAATCGATCCACCAAGTCTCAAGCTTACCTGTTTCATCAGATACTGTGAAATCTTAGCATTTTATCAAATGTTCAAATGTCTCCACCTATGACGTGAGAGGCTACTCATTCTCGAAGCGCTAACGGCAAAAAAACTCGCATCTCTTCTATGTTATACCTGATCTCCTGTCATAGATCTCAGCTTCAAATACCTAAAATCGACTTACGCCAATGATTATTAGCGCGTGAAAAGCTCCATTTATTAGGCCATCTAGATATCCGGATATTCAGATACCCTGCAACATCAGATACTTTGCAACATCCAAGATCCACCAGATCAACAATTTTTACTCCATTGAAGAAATTTCTCTATTCAGTGCAGGAGTATCTGTTGCAATACTGTATCTTACACTCCAGGAAATCCCAACTTCATCCTCGATCACAGATCCCGAAACCAATCCCTGCTCACCCAAGACCCACCAACACTTCTAATACCAATCCCCATCACGATCCAGACATCCTGTTTGAACCCCTCCCCAACTTCTTTCTTGGACTATTCTCCAAAATAGGCACGTGACTCACCGGAACTCTCGAGATCCCACTCTACAAGTCCATTAGCCTCTTGCCATTAAACATCCAACCTACTCACCTCTGATGACGCCGAGATATGAGATGAGCTCGTATTGAAAGCATAAAGAAATGCGAATACAGAATATAAAGAATAGACAACAAGATTATAAGAACCGAAGCGAAGCAAGACGAAATAATATCAAAGCCCACCATCTCACTGTCATGTCAGCACTACACCCTTTCATCCCTCCTCTCCGAAAATAAAAACAAAAACAAAGCCTGAAGTATCCCCACCCAACTCAACTAACTTCCACGAAAAGCAAGCCCGTACCTCTTAACCTCACGCTACCTAGATTATCGAGTCGTCGTCCCTTCCCCATCTTTCTCAGCACCAGCAAACCCCCTTCGATTAATGGAGCTCCAGGGCGCCTCTCTCCCATTTTCAGAACAAAAGTCCCATAATCTCTGTTCTTTTATCTTCTCTTCCTTTTGTGTGCTTTTCCATGCATGGTTTTACTCTTGACTAATTCTAGTTCTTGCGTTAGTTTTGCTGCTGGAGAGATAGGTGATGGATCGCATCACGGGAGGTAGAAGATATTTGAGTTTTAGAAAAGAGGAGGGAATAGTGGAAGTACATACTCAGCCACGCTACCATTCACAGCCGTTGCGGACCAATTTTCCGAGTAGATACTTCCAGGCATGTTTGAGACGGTTTGATATCTTTTGATTCCTGGGTAGGAGGGTAAAGACAAGGTACGGGTGTTGGGTTAGTGGTCAGAATCCGTATGTCCTTATGTGTCATAAGATAGTAAATTTAACAGGAAGAGAATTTGTGAATGGGCAAGAAAAGAGTACAAAGTGGAATTAGAGGTAGGTAGTGAAAATGAGAAAGGATGATAAAGTGAAAGAGAGTCCCAATGGAAAAGACCTTGGTGAGAAGGCCAAAGAAGAAGAAGAATGAAAATTGGAGACTATGATGCTTTCTGGCAGATAGGAAACAGGAAACCTATACTGAAAAACGGAGAGGAAAGGTAGGAAATGCAATGCCATATACCAGTTTATATGAGAATCTCATATCCTGCAGCCTCATTCAATCGATCTGACAACAGAATTCACATACGCATACATTCATCAAATTTGAAAAGCGACGAAGATGAGATTTACCGACCGCAATGACAAAAAGAGAAATCTTTACCGCCGGTTTCCAATCGAAAAAACTCTTGCAAATGAATTTCAGACCGGCGACACCGTCAAATTGCATGTGCTAATCCAATCAGTCAGTGTCTGAAAAGAAGACAAACTATCATTCACAAGTCACCATTCACGAGTAATGAAATCTGTATGCACAATCTCAATATTATGCACCGTTGACTTTTCATTTATTAGTCACCACCATTCCAGTGATAAGCAGCGGTTACACTATCAAGCGCGGTTGCGACACACCACATATGCTCACCACATGAAAACCCAATTATTCCACGATCGTGCTTATGATTGGCGTTTTCGATGACCGCAGCCGCAGCCGTACATCATAGACCCTGTACATCTCGAGCCTGTATCTGCCGTCTGACACATCGAATATGATTGATTATCGGAAACGCGTACAATGAATTAAGTGAGCAGTAGTGGTTGATCATGCTGACGGATGGTGATCGAAAGAGGAAAGAATAGACAGACTATTGTTTGATTTAGTAAGAGTCGCCTTGAATGTAAGCGGCTATTTCTGGGATTGCGTACTGCGCTTCCGTACTTTGGTCGACCTTACTAAAATCCATAAAACAGATTCGTGTACACGAATACATGCGACGTTCAACCCCCCGGGGCCACCAATCAGTTATGTTATTGGTTTATAGTTGACGTAAACGAAGAGTCCAAATGAAAATGATCTTGCATAGTCGATTCGAATTAAATGGTCGTCCGAAAGCGTCTGGTAAATTTAGGACTTTCGCGATTTCATCGAATCTTCTTGGAAACGGACCTGTTTCTTAGCAGAATTTAGTGCCGTTGGAGATTCCTTGACCTTTTTATCTTCGACTGCCTGTGCACCGTGTACAGACCTCATGTGTGTATTCAAAATGTTATCATCTGGATATGAAAGTCCACAAGCATTACACTTCAAACCATTTGTATGAAAACTGGTGAGGTGGCGATAGAGATAGTCCCGAAGAGCATACTTTTTGGTGCAAAGCGAACATCCGAATGGCTCCCCTGCTGTTTTATGTACACATTTCATATGTCGCTCCAGATTTTTCTTCGTAGCAACTTCTTGATGACAAACTGGACAAGTACATTTGTCAGACGATTCTCTTCCAACATCCGTTTTGTTACACGAATCAGAGATAGATTGCAAAGCTTCGACAGGCTTGGGTTTCGAGCGTTCGGAGGTGCTTGGAGAGTTTGAAGCCAGCGACTTGGATCGTGGATTTGTATCCTTATTTTCGCTCAATGGAATATCCTTCTTTGAATGCTTAGGAATGACAAACTATTTCTGTTAGTATTTAGGCCTGCCTTTCATCCGAAGAACCACTTACATATGGTTTTGATTTCTTCTGTGGCTGATCGACAATCAAAGCATCTGCAGGTTCATCCCGTTTGCGCTTTTCGCTGACCGCCGATTTTGGTAGAGGGATAGAGGTTTGAGGGACTGATGGAAGTTTTCTGGCAGACTTCACAACAAGTACAGCTGGTAGTGATTCTGGGTCATCTCTGGCAGACTTTGCTTTAAGTGGCCCTTGTTCCTCTTTTTGATTGCTATTGTTCAATGCAACTGGTAACGACGGATTTTCAAAGGCTTTCTTGATGGGTGTAATCTTTTGCGAGGATTGCTCGATTCCCGAGTCTGAGCTTCTGCGAAGTAATGGAAGTGAATTTTCGATGATACCTTCATCGAGAGTATCCGCAAGCAAAGATTCAACCACTGCCCTAGCATCGGGATACTCGACACATAAACGGAAAAGTATCTTACCAAGCTGGTCGCCACTAGATGATGTGATGGCGTCTGCTAGGGGGCGAAAGAATCGTCGCTTGTCGGCTTCGATTGATATGAGTATAGTAGATGATTGCGAAAGCTCGTCCTTCATTAGAGGTTTTGGATTGGTCGATGTTCGACTTTGGGGTTCATGATCAAGTCCAAATGGCTTTTGAAGCAAGGCTGTGTTGGCGGAAGTCTCATTGTCTGAATCAAAACTGATGTTTGATTCAAACTCGCCATCATGTCCTTCCTTGGTTGTGATATATTTTGCGTCCCAAGCCGGCGGTACCATAGGTCTAGCTGCTTCCAAAGCCTTAAGTTTTTCAGCCTTCTTCTGCTGTAACAGAAATTTAATATCAAGGTCAGCCATTGTGGCTCAATACAGATCCTTAATTTCCACCTGATTTGACAAGTCAAAAGATCGACAGCAAAATGTGACGGATCAAAGAACAAATTCGAAGTCGAAGAATGATTTGTACATAAGTCAAGGCCTTGAGGAGAGAGAATAAGAGCAACCAAAGGACGATTCGTAGGTATTCTAAGGATTTTACAATCGTTCCAATGTTTGGAATAAATTGAACAAATGAGCGATTAGAAGAAGGCGATGCGCACGATAAAACTTTTGAACCAAATTCAATTGAATTCAATAAATGAAGACTAGCAGAATATGGGGAATTGTGATACCTGGTGAGTGGGAAAAGAAACCAACACGTTGGTTGTCTTTCTTATCACTTTGAAACCTTGATAACAACAAAAGAAATTATTTCATGCGGGTGAGGTGGGTGAGGTGGGATTGTTGTCGCACTCGCGAATTGAAAATACGCGACCTCAACTGTCAAATGTTAAATGAAGTATCCCCAAAAACACGTGGTCACGAGATTCTTGGTCACTTGATATTAAAGAACTGAGTTGGTCGTTCCTTCACTTATGTTCTTTGAAAGTTCGGAAAATTGTTTGCCCGAGCAATTTATTATTGTTCAAGAAAGTTTCCAACATTGATTTGTTGTTCAGGAAAAGTTTTCGAACACTCAGATGGATGTCTTTTGAGGTTGAATCCAATTCTGTACACTCAAAAGATGACTTTTATGTCATATTGACCAGTTCCTAGCAGAAAACAAAACATCTGAAATATCGTTTCCACTGATACTTGGGGGAACTGAAAACTCTATGCGTGTCTCCTTCATTCATTCATGTCGAGAATGTCTATTATTACATTGGATGCCACAATCTACATACATATTTTGATCATAGGATATTTTCTCGGTGAATCTCACGGAAATCACGGGCTGGAAGCTGTCTTGCGGGCAAATAAATCTTATCTTTCCACCCTTACATCTATTCAGATGTTCCAAGTATTCTTTTATTGGTGGCGCGATGGAGAAAAAACAAATCCTCTACTCAAATCGTTCTTTTGAGACCTGCTTATCGACTATTCTGTATGTCTTACTATCAACTCCTGTGTTCCTTCCTCGAAAGCCTGCATCACACTATTCTTGTTTACGCTTTCTTTCCATGATCGATATTCCTCGGCCATCTTCCTCCAAGCTGGTCTGAATCAACTTCATTTGCCTGTATCTTTTTTAAGAAACATTCGGGCTTTCCCTCGCCCCTTGGTGGCTTCAAGAATTTGCCTGAGCTTTCAATATTTAGTATTTCAATACTCTCTGCCTTGCTCCATTTCTTACTTTTCCTTCATTCTCATCGTTAATTGTCCTTCTTTTTGCATTTAAACCCTCCATTCTTCTGGAGGTTCGTCAACGCCATCCTTTAAGCATCAATCGTTCTACTCAAAGCAATCATGGCACCACATTCGTTAAGAGATTCGTTATTCTTCGCGGCCACTTTTGGTGTTGCAAGTGCAAGCATCAAATTGGAGGGTCATAATCCTCAACACCTGGATCTTGCGCTCCGTCAGGCAAATTGTCCACCTCCAGTGACAGTCACTGTTTATCCAAGTTTTTGCTCAGCTGCGCCATCTTCCACTGTTGCAACATCTTCAGGCTTTCCTACATCCAGTGCGGGACCTGAATCGATATCCACTACCGCACCAATTGTCTCCAGCCAATCGACTTCGAATCCTGCTACGACTAGCAGTACCTCAGAGCCAACTTCTTCCGGTAGTGATCTTCCAGAATCTACGTCGATTACCAGTAGTTCAGGAAGCCCATCTTCATCAATTGGTCCGGTGTCGTCCCAAGAAAGTGTGCTTCCAACTCTTCCGAGCTCCGCAGTTGTATCAAGCCTCTCATCGATACTTCCTTCTTCGGTACTCCCCACTTTCAGTATTTCGGAATCGCAATTATCTTCAGTATATATTTCGGTTAGCAGTACTTTATCTTCCGAAGCTGTTCCTACCAGCAGTAATGTTCTCTCCACCGCCCCAGGATCCTCCTCGGCAGCTGCTAGTACTTCAAATCCTGTTAGTGATGGCTCTTCAACCGTGATCAACTCAAATACCCCCATGTCCTCTGGAACTGCAGCAACTTCATCAAACGTTCTCTCCTCAAATGTGGCTACTTCTGATTTACCAGTCCAATCTTCAGCTACATTATCGACAGAATCGACTGTTGAAACTTCGACTGCTCTTGAGACATCTGCGCTTCCAGGTAGCACTGCATCACTTTCTACCTTTGTTCCAACTGAATCCACTGTTGGGACTTCCACTGTTCTCGAGACTTCTTCTACGTCTGTAGCTGCTAGCTCTTCCATAGAAATAATTTCTAGCTCGGCCGTTCTTTCGCAAAGCTCAGCTATCGAAACTGGTGCATCTACTCTCTCATCTGGAACTTTCAGTTCTTCAATTCCGTTGATATCATCTTCGCTTATTTCTGAGTCAGCGTCAAATTCTGGAAGTTCAGCTATTTCCACGACTGAGACGTACTCGGCATCTGCTTCCAGTAGCTTGACATTATCAGAATCGACATCTACTTCGGGTACCTCTGTCATTTCTGGGTCTGAATCGACATCTGCAACTTCTACCTCTTCAGTCGTTTCCACTTCCGCGGTAGAATCTGGAAGTTCCTCATCAATCGGTCTAGAATCCAGCTCAAGCGTCCCTGCCGTCTCAAGTGCAACCTTATCCGAATCAGTATCGGCGTCTGCTAGCTCAACTGTGTCCGAAGAAACCTCATCCGTATCTTCCGCCGCTAGCTCGGCTTTTGAAAGTGGTACTTCCTCGGTCTCATCTTACATCGCTATAAGCTCCACGGTCCCAGGATCGTCATCTTCTATTGAATTCAGCTCACAACCAACAGTGACTTTGAGTTCACTTCCAGTAACTTCTGTTTCGAGCTCCGAGTCTACTTTGACACCTAGCAGTTCGATAATCTCGTTTGTACCAACTTCTACCACTGCTGTTTCCAGCGGTGCTGCTTCTTCTGCTGCAATTAGCTCGAGTGCCGTCATATCATCAACTCCCGCAGCTAGCTCAAGTGCTACCACTACTGGAACATCAATTAGTGGACCAACTCAAGTTCCATCCATTTTTACTGCGGCTGGTGTATACGAGGAAATAGGTTGTTTCTTGGATTCTACCTTCGATGGATTCCCATTGACTCCACCTCCCATGCCTGTCAATAACAACAGTTCTCCAACTGCTACTGACACACCCGCTAGCTGTGCATTGTTCTGTTCCACTGCGAATAATGGGGGTCCATTTACATACATGGGTATTGAACCAGGTCATTGTTATTGTTCAAATGGATTCAATCTCGGTCAACCAGGAGGTATTTGCAACTTCCCATGTCCAGGTGATCCATCGCAATCTTGTGGAGGAAATTCACTTGCCAAGAGATTCTCACGACGCAACGGTCCACCTTCGATCGTCGCTTATCAGCTTATCCCTGCGGCTGTATCATCTTCTACTATTAGCTCATCGCCGGCTACTTCATCTTCGGCTCAATCTTTCGGAAGTGACATATCTTCTGCCGCGACTAGCACGGTTCCTCAATCTGCATCAGCTAGTCTCACTTCTTCTACTGCTTCTTCTTCGATTGCCTCGAGTCAAGTATCTTCTTTACCTTCCGAAGTATCCAGTGTTGCCTCCTCGACCATTGCAAGTCAATCTGAATCAGCATCCGCATCCGCATCCGCTAGCGCAAGCTCTTCTGGAGTTTTATCCAGCACTTTACAGTCTTCTTTGGAATCCCAATCCGCAACATTTAGCTCCAGTATTCCTCTATCCTCAGAAGTTTCTGGAACAACTTCAAATATCGGATCCTCAAGTGCCCTATCTTCGAATGTTGCGTCTTCGATTATAGCATCCTCCAGCGGTACAGTATCTTCTAGTGGAGCCGCTAGTACTTCTGCAATTGCTGAAACTTCTTCAAACATTCCAACCAGTTCATTTGCCGTATCTTCGATAGTTCTCTCTAGTCAAAGTATTATTGAGCCAACGACTTCACCTGCTCTTTCCACTGCTATCCCAGCCACTTCTGGCTTTTCTTACGCTGCACCAAGTACTATTCAACCTTCAGTATCTTCCAGTGGTGTACCAACCACTGTTGAGTCATCGGTCTCATCCAGTGCTATATCCACATCCGAGCCAGCTCTCACCAGTATTGTACCAACCAGTAGTGTAGGAATTTCCCTCTCATCGAGTGAAATCATCAGCTCGTCAGCACTACCTTCCAGCAATATTGAACAATCCACTAGTCAAGCTACAAATGTCCCCTCAAGCACAACTGAGCAATCATCAGTCGCCTCATCTGTACTTCCAGAATCTAGCACTATTTCGAATACTGTTCAGCCAAGTAGCTCTTTAGCCTCCACGACTTCCGAGTCTTCTTCGATAATCGTTTCAGAATCCAGTACCATCCCAAGTACTGTGCTCCCCACCACTTCACCCGCTTCCACGACTTCCGAATCCTCCTTGGTCCTGAGCTCAGAGTCTAGTACCATTCCAAGTACTGTACTCCCCTCTACTTCAGCCGCTTCCACCACCGAAAGCCAAAGCTCATCCACCACCTCTGAACTTCCCAGCAGTACATTATTCTCCTCCTCGGCCGAGTCCTCCTCAATTCTACCAACCTCATCTGCTGCTCCATCTTCATTCTCTACCCGTACTTCTTCAAGTTCGAGCTCAAGCACCACTTCCACTTGTCCAGCGGCAACAATTACCAATGGTGGATTTGAATCCGGATCTTTGTCCCCATGGACACCTAGAAGTGATGGTATTGCCAACGCTAAGAGTAATGTTGTTATCAACAATCCTGCCGTTGCTCATACTGGTAACTCTTACCTGTAAGTAATTACTTTCTTTTTTTCCCATCCTCATTCATCACTTCCAAGAAACCCAGACTGACATCTACCTCCCTAGCCAAATAACCATGACTCAAGACTTCTTGTCTCTCATCCAACAAACCACCACCATCTGCCCCACCACTAAATCTCTCACCGTCACAGCCTGGGGTCAAGCTGCCAAGTCCCGTGACTGCTGGCTCCAAATCTGTGTTAACAAAGATAGTTATTGTTCCGTCCCCACCCCTCTCAAGAAGGGTAAATGGAAGAAGAACACACTTGTCTACAAACCCAAGAAGAACTTGGTTGGCAAGACGGATGCCAAGGTACAGATTTATACCGAGTGTAGAGGTGAGAGCGATGGCATGGTATTGATTGACGATGTGGTTATTACCAAGACCAAGTTGAATTCGAGAGAAATGGCGCCGCAATTAGCGCCAAGAATGGGGACGTTAAGGATGATTGACGCTTAGGATTTTCTTCTTCATTTGTTAAGATGAAATATTCTCGAATTTTAGGCGTGTACGCTAGTGTTGTTGGCGAGGAGAGATTGAGATAATGTGGGGGAAAGGGGATGATTAGATGCGATTCTTTCCTTTTGTTCTTTTAAGTCATTTTTAGATCTTGATTTTGGTTTTTAGTTAAGATCGAAGCTTTTTTCTTGGGGTGAAACTAGGGTTAAGATAAGATAAGATAAGGACATGAGAAACAATGTATGAGGAAAATATAGCGATGGATTAACGGATTTGTTTTCTTGAATAGATTTATGTATTAGTTATGTATGAGGTTAGATCATGTTATATCTTTAAGAGTACCTTAATCTATTTGGTATTCGCTTTGATTTTTACCTTGTTGATTGTTGATTAGATCTCTCGTGCTTGAACATGGTGGAACCCGTGGGGCTTGTGTTTGTGCAATGGAACATGATGCGGGGAAAATCCCACAGTTTGGGTTATACCGCCTTAGTGGTTCGAAGTGGCAGAATTAAGCACCGCAGCTAATGGTAAAATGCAAGGGGCTCGGGTAACACATCACGTCATTGGTCAGTGCGGGGTCGCGTCTGTTGTTCAATTAAAAGTATTTCATTGAACAATTGTTTTATCAGCCCATTCTATTTTTCGAACTATCAACCGCACCCATCACGCCACCCTTATTTCTACGTTGTATCGTTATATCGTTATGCCATTCCTGCATTTGAATTCAATCCTATCCTCCGTTTCCGTTTCCGTTTCCGTTTCCGTTTCCGTTTCCTTTTCCTTTTCCTTTTTCGTTGCTGTTTCCATGTTTCCAAACTCCAAGCTCCAAGCTCCAAGCCCTGATATTCCATCTCTTTCTTCGTATTTGGTACACTTGATCCATCTGTGTAAACAGATCGAATAGTATAGCATAGCAAGTGCTAGTACCAGTACAAGTACAAGTACGAGAGCTACTGCCCACCACCATTGCCATTGAAGGCCGCATCGAAGTTTTGGATGTTGATTCTCGCGGCGGCGGTGTAGTACTGGGCATCTGCTGCTTCATCACCGTTGTACGCAAGGTTAGGAGATGCGTAGGTGGTAGAGTGTTGAGAGTTATTGGTGTAGGCTTGGATGCGGTTGGCTGAGAGGGAGGATTGTTCGGCTTGGGAAGTTTGAGTAGTGGAAGTGGAGTTGAGACTGTTTTGGGAAGAATGTGTTAGTGCATGTTTTTGGCAGATGTCTGAAAAGGAAGTGCAGGATAGGAGATGGAAGATGAAGATAGAGGAGATAGGCTGTGGATGTGTGAAGTGGTTGTTGACTCGGAAAGATGTTGGAAGAGAAAAGGTAAAGTGTGTATGCCAAGAGGGGATGGGGTACGTGAGTCATGCAAGATGATGAGAGCCTCTGAGTGGAAAAGATAGAAGTGGTAGAGCAGATGTGCACGAGTTGGACAAACACAACAGAAAGGTAGAAGTAAGAGTGAGGGGAGAGAGTGAGGGACGGGTGTACTAAGTAGTAGTAAAAGGTCCCAGGAAGAGATAAAAGTCGAGAAAGAAGTGGTGGTTGGGGAGATACGAATGTATGAAATAACGGCAATGCTCTAGTATGGAAAAGTGAAGTGTGAAAGCTCAGTGTACGAGAAGAGAGATGAAGTACGAGCGCAACAGAAAGTGGAATGAGAGACGAGACTTGGTTTTTGTGAAATTTTTGCAGGGAGATAACTCATGAAAGTCGGGAAAGAGAAGAGAAAGGGAATTCACTCACTTAGAGTTGCTTGAGCCTTGTACGGCAGTGTTGGAAGTTTGGCTAGCCATGATGGTGGTGTTTTACGGGATATTCGCGTGATGCTGGATAGAACTCGGTAGCCTTGAGATGGATATGGATATTGAAGAAGGTAATTGAGCTTGAGGAGATGAGTTTAGAGAAGATATCATTGCAGTAAGAGGATGAGGGTTTATATGATCAACTACTAGACGGCGTGTCATTGTTGGTGGAACCTTGGAACAATCCTATTCTCTCAACCGATAGTCACCGCGATGTGTTGGAATTTACATGTACTAGTAGGTACACTCATATACGGAAAAGTCAAAGCTTTCCGGTTAATGTCACCGGAACCCAGATACTGAGTCTATACGGTAGATCCTTGAACCATCAAAAAACAAGGGTTCAAATTGTCCCCAAAAGCGGCGATCCCGTATCTCAAAATCTTTCTTCTCTATCTATTATCAAGTTGATCAATGGTTCTTTCAGACCAGGACTTTGACAAAAGTGACTAGTAAATCTATATTAAATTATTTATCTTATCAAAATGTATCTAGATTCTTGTTATGAGTACCGTTGATTAATGTCCACAACAAAGACAAATTTACTAATTCAGAGAATCAGGAGCTGGATAAGAAATCATGGTATTTTATTTCACTTGGGTATGGGATGGCCGTCTCAATTCATCTGATAAGAAGTGAGCGTCACCTTGTGAGTGAATGCTACGGATTTTTCAAGCAGCGTGCCATAAATTTAAAGAACGTATCGGACGTAAATTGGAATTTTGGTGGCGTGGATCATAAATACTACCCAAGTCTTGAAAGTGGGTGTATTCAAATTCTTAGCGTCTGCAAAACAGACATGTTACATCGTTCTTTATTCAGTGGCCAGTGGGTATGCACACCCTAGTTCGGAGGCAGTATTTCCTCTTGCCAAATCCGTAAGGCTAAATTAATGTATAATTTATAATCGCAGTTGTGACTGTTTCCAGGTATTAGCTACCCTGCCTAATGTTTTAGTCACCCAAAGCAACCATACATAGTACCAGAAGTTTCGTCCGAGGTCACTAGTATTCCGACCAAACATTTGTTCTTTCCACGACTTTTAGGGTTAGATCAAATGTTTCTTCATCGTGGTAAGTTCTGCCACGCAACGGTTCCTGAACTTCGACAAGCACTCGAAAACTTGTCTGGGGTAGAATCTTTCAGCTGGGCTGTTCCGGTTTTTGGACCTCAGTAAAATCGCAATTAAGATTGTTGATCTTAACATAATTCCACCTACCCGGCGTCGTTTCGTGACTTAAATGCTTCTGAATGATGCATATATACTAAATCGCTACTTAAATCATTTGAGTTGAGATTTGCAATGACCCATTTAAAAGCTCTAGATATACTTTAATTCTTTTGCGGGAGTTTTACAGGAAATGATGTCCACACCACTTCCGTCGATAATTGATCTTACCGGGCTACCAAATCAGTATCAGGTGGTTGATAGGGAGAAATTTATTACCGGCATCCAATGGTCGCTACAGGATCTCCATAATTTCGACCAAACCTATAGGGCTCTGGATATGTCGAGCTCACGACCTTTCCACTTCGTTTGACCTAGATCCCAAATTGCGACGACAAAAAATAAAATAGGTTTGTGCTTTCGCTTCAATGATCATATTTTTGGTTGATTTGTGATTCCGATCAATTTTCACAATGGAAATACTTCATTCCAGAAACTCATTTAATTATATTCTCTACAGTCGCTACCCGTAGTAGTACTTAATGGAGAGAAAATATGCGAACTCCAAAGGGAACGAGAGCGGTGTCACATATGCGTAACCATTTAAGAATAAAGCACCACGATAGAACGGTTGGAAATTCCCTATTCAGAAATTGTCCAGCGTACATATTAACCACTCTCATCTCGGAGTTAAACCGTTTTGTCATCGCGGCGAAACATGCAAGAATTAAATTCAACTCTGCAGATCTCCTAGGACTGGCAGACCCGCACCAGTCACTTCTCAAGTATGGGCCGGGCGCCTGCTCCCATCGCCTATCCAAAAAGAAAGGTGCTGAATATGTCTTGCAAATGCACATGCAGGCAATAAACAAATCGGGGATTCGCTTCCGGAAATTTCTACGTTCCTAAAAATCGCCCCACTCTTCTTTGACAGTGCGCTGAGTATTGAGGCTGGTATATTATGATTCTTGCATATGAATACTACATAATCAAAAGTCCTTTGGTGAGGATACAGGCCAGCGCTTCATCCATTGATTAAATCTAGTGAAATTTCGATTTGTCTTAGTTGAATGAGGACGGTATAAAAGGGCTGAATCGTTCAATTTCAATTTCATGCGATACTACAGAATTCCAAGGTTCCTCCAAGTCTTTCCTTTTGACCTTGTCTAATCCCTTCCCACAGTTCTTATCGGAACTCTATCTGCGGTGAACAAGGGGAGCCGTGACGCAAGTGAACAAGATCCTAGGTAGCTTACATCAGGGAATGAGAATGGATTAAGAAGCATCCGAGGCCATCCTTATGGCTATTGCTGATTAATAGATTAGGGATCCTGGTTGGTTGCACACCCATCCAATGTCGAAACGTGGTTTGAGGCTGAAGATCCAACATGTGGTCTTTCTAGGTACACCAGTGGGTGCACAGACTCACAGGACACTTAAAATGAAAAGCACAATTTCACACCAAAAAGAGCTGTTTTGATAATTCAATTAAAATTCAAAAAATTGATATTTGACTTTGAAACTAAGAAATATTATTCTCAAGCATAAGAATTTTATATATTAAAAGTTTTATTTCAAAAAAAAAAACAAAATTCAAATTTATACAATCGATTATATAATATCCTATCAAAAAAATTGATAGGAAAATATATTATTTGATTTATAGATTCAATATTCATTTTTAAGATTAAATCTTATATTTATAAATTATATATTTTAATCTAAATGATATTAAATGGAATTTGGAATTTTGATTAAGTTTTGAAGTTAATAAATTTGAATGTGAAATTGTGCTTTCCTATCACGTTGTCCCGTGAGTCTGTGCACCTACTGGTGGTACTCTAAATAAGACATCGAGACCGTTGAAGATATTCCAATATTGTTGAGATGCCAAGTTAGTACTATCCTCAGAATCTGTCATAACACATGATTTTGTACAGATAAAAAAAATTACTTTCAATTTAACCGAGCCGCTATTACACACTGTGATCACGATGGAATCGTTTACAAGTCGTCCGGGTGCTAGCTGCTTCTTTCAAATTCAATCTGGTTAAAGAAGAACCAGGAAAATCTTAGTAAAACTCAAATTTAAGAGGCTCCCTCTTCGCGTACAGGAATCCCAACTTCCACTTTAATTAATTGAATCAATGTGGGTTCAGATCACCAAACTACGGGGGTGAGTAATAGGTCATTGAACTCTAGATACTTGGTACGATTTTACTTTTTATGTTCAATTTCCCCAAAATCCCAAGTCTACATTCTAAGAAACTGATGAATAAGAACTGTCTATCGCACAGCTTGGGACTCTGTTCCCCCCCCTTGTTTTCGTCACTAGCATAACTTATTATGCCGCTACAAATTGCTCTTCGAAACTCCAAACTTGAAGGTATTTGGGCGAAACTCCGGCATAGTAACCATACGAGACTTAAATCCAATATAATCGTCATCAAGCGCCTTCAACAGACATATAAGAATTAAATCCGACGTACAAAGAAGCATGCAGCCGCAACAAAAATTTAAGAATTAAACCCAAAATCAGCTGAATTAAGCATTTCGGTGTTTAAGAGTACCTACACAATACTGTATGTCATCACTCCTCTCACGATATAAACAAGTGAATGCAATGATCCTGGGATAAACATATGAGTTGGGACGGTAAGCATCATATTTTTCTGATCTCATTTATTTACGTACAAGCGTATCTTCAACATTGAAATTGCTCACGTGACCCAAATCCGCTTTTCATCTGATGCCTGTAACTGCAGCTGCAGCTTACATACACGATTGCGTAAGGATTCTACGTCATCTATTATGATTATTTGGCTTACCTTGATATGACTATCACCATTTTATGATTGCCACATAATACTGAGCAAGTCCACAATCTTGGAGATAGTTCAAGAGTAGATGTCTCACAAAAGCTTAAGCGAGAATTTAAAGGGGAACTTTCGTATTATTTCCTAACAAGACATTTTCTAATCAAAAGCAAACAACTCAATAAAAATATACCCCTCCACAACTCAAGAAATGCTTCGGAATCTTGACACAATAGCAGTCGGCTTTATGGAATCCACAAGTGATCTCCTTACTCCGTCTGAGCCCAACCATAAATTTGAAATTTAACTACCCTTCTCCGCATGCCATCCCTGGGCTAATACATCGTCCAAGCAATGGATTCAACAGCCATTATTGCTCCGGTGATCAAAATCATTGTTAAACCCACTGGTATTGCCATCAAAAGCCTTATCGAACTCCTCCAGCATCGTACCCATTCTATATCCGGCGGCTGCCACTCTGTTGAGCTGTTTATGAATACTAGCTTGAGGGTCTTTGACAATTTTTGCGTATGGAACAGATGTAGACAGGTCTTGGAGGTAGCTATGAATGCGAGAGGCCGCCATTCTTTGGGATTCAGCGGATTTGTCAGAGGAAGATCGGAGAGGTGAGATGTTCTTTGGGCTAGACATGAGAGATCGCTGTTAGTGTACTTCAAAGTGGGATGAGATAAGTAGGGGCACGTTCTATCAAATATAATATTGATTGCATGTGATAGCGTTGGGCAAGATACGATACGAGAGTGTGACTCTGAGAAGTAGATCTTTGAAAGAAAGAGGTAAATATACAGCCATGACTGAACCGAAGAAAGCACTGAAATGTAATGGGAATTAAAGCATAAACCGGATCGACAGAGGAATTTGAACTACGAATATGAATGGGTCTGGCTAGGAATAGTATGACAGTCTGAATGGACCCGAAGAGTGGAAGTTCAAGATCTTTAAAACGAGCCTCGAAGGAGAAGGAACAATTTTCTTGGAGTCGACCAACGAATAAGAGATAAAAGAACAATTCCGTACATTTTTAACTCACCAAGGGACCACAGAGTTTCTCGAAACAATTTCGGAATTTTGGCCAGGCATAATGTAAAGTGAGGTGGGATTCGTAGTTTTAATGAGGGTATGAGTATCAACGAGCGAGTACACGTGACTTTTTTGGGATCACCGATCCTCAAAAGCAAAGTTCGAGACAAGATAATGAAGTTATAGAGGATATATTGCATTCGGATAACAATCTTGAGATTATGATAGTTCTTATACATGTTCTCGAATGGGTGAGTCTACCTGACCGTTATATAGTATATTTCGCTGAATGAAATTCGTCTGAGGCTCTACTCCACATCTGGAGGTAATTAAAGGCAGAAGCGAACCATTTACAACCCATTTTGCCAACCATAGTGCTCGGTAAGAACGTTCCCCCAAGCACCACATTTTTTCTCGAGGGTCTTCCCCGCTCACACCTATCTAAACTAACACACGCGGATAAATACTTCCGAGTGTTTTTCCACTACCGTTTCATCACACTTTAATACTTTTTAGCACAAAGATGGATGCAGTCACCATTACTTTTACTGCTCGAATATATCTATATCAAGATTACCCGTCACATTTCTATGAGTAGAGAGTTCGAAGATATCATGATATGTTGTTTCTATTCTTTTCTTTTCTTTTTAACTTTGCCTAGGGTCAAATATCCAGAAACTTTGAGGATGAAAGAATTTTGTGTTTCTCATGTTTTTGAAGCTTGTGTGGATAGGATCAAAACTCACGAATCATAAAAAGTTGATTCATTCACGCGACAACTCGGAGAGACATAGATTAATTGGTTGCAGTCAAAGCTTTGACTGAGAATCATTCTAGTATGTTTTCCACTGATTCATACAAGCTGCCGATGTAACCTCAGCTATCGGAACACGTTACCTCTACATCTTACCGTCAGCCACACCGTCAATATTTCTTACATCAACAGCATTCGTTCCATTGGTTGACGACAGGATAAGACTCTCCTGACACAAAAGCTTTTTTGAATTGAATAAAAAGGTAATCTACTGGCGGTGACACTTATGAATACTTTAAAATGGGCCTTGGGCTCAGAATATTCTAACCAACAAAGAATCTCGATTGACTTCAAGCCTTTAGAACAATTATTTTGCGCGCATCATACTAAGGCTGCTTCTTTTGCGACCACTAATTGATGAATCAAGGATCAAAACAGAGAAACAAATTGGGATCCCGCCAAAGATGAACTGAACGAGCTGCGATCTGACGACTGATTGAACACAACCGTCAACAAGGAAATAATAGCGCATCTATGGATCTCAAATTGGGATCAGGAAGAGATTTTGGAGATACATGTGGCATATAGAGCTACAAGTATGTCGGAGAATTAAAGTTCAGACACTCGGCAAGCCGAACTAATTCCCAAAAGAAACTCGTGTCTAGATTGCCCAAAGAACCATTTTTTCTGCCTCAAAATCAGTGGCCCGACCTATAGGAACAACTTTCAAGCCATAAATAGTCCAGAAAACTCCTCTCCATAGCCATGCTTCGAGTTCAATCTTTGTGTTTACTCGCTACTGCCATCGATATGCCCATTCTGATTCCTCTCTCAAAGCAAGCTCTCTGAATGGCAGCTTACTACGAAGCCAAGGTTCCCCCATGTGTCACAGCTAGTCACGGAACTCGGTAATACATCTTTTGAGGTCCGTTACGATAGCTTCCCTGCGAAGCTCGGTGTTTTTTGCGCTGCACGGCTCGTGGCCGATAATAGAAGGCGAGGTATGGGGGACAGAATGATCTGGATCAGAAAGGTAGCGATCTATGCGGTAAGCATAGAGTGATGAGGTATTGTTAGTTTCGGTCGAGATGGGTACGGAACTGGAATACCTCGGCGGAGTATAAGTTTCATTTGTTCTAGTTGGATACAAGAGTGTTAGACTTTCTGGTTTGCTTTGAGACTGGGAGAGAAGCTGAAGGAAACGATTAACATATAAAGAGTGACAGGAATATCAATGGTGATATCAAGTGTATAACTGGCAAAGCTATTTTTTTAGGCTCTAAAGCGAAGGGGCCGAGTGATGATAACGAGAAGAGAAAGACTTGACCCCAGCAAGTATCCAGCAAGGAATAAAGCAAGGCATCAAAAGTGCTAGATGAGAATGGGTCTTTAACGAAGCTTGAAAACCGTCGAAAGAAGACCTTGGTATATGTGATTCCGGAGTGCAATGTACAATCTATGAAAGGGAAACGGATTTAAAAAGAAAGATTACTGACCCAGCCACCTTTGAGCCTTGGACCGCCAAATTGGAGCCTTGACTCAAGTTAGACATGACAACGGTGCTTGTGGAGGGTTTTGATTGAGCGGTTCGCATAAGTATCGTGGTTCAATGGGGACAAGAGGAATTGAATCTGGATGGAAGGGTTTAAGAGACGTGGAGCATTGCTTCGAGAAGAGGGATCTTATATAATAACAAATTGCAAAGCTCCCATTTTATAGACGGCAATTTCCATGAAATTGAGACTGTAGAGCTCTGGGGAGAAGGCTGTTTCTCACAATGCACTTGAGCCACGAGATTAATGCATCATGCACCATGCCTACTGCCGAACTATGGTGTTAGATCGCATCACACAATATCGAACGGTGTGTCGCACACCATAAAATGACTATTCCAACCTAATCCAGACTGCTCTTCCTTTTTTGTATATGTCTACTGCTGTACACTTGTTCAACGTTTTTTTTTTTTTTGGCAGCAAACGCCTGAGTTTTCCAGGTACTTTCAAAGGGTCAAGGGTGTAGAATTAACATGTGAAATCGATACTACTAAACATAAAAATAATGAATCAATTTACTAGTATATCAATGAAGTATCTGCAACAAGAAGGACGGAGGAAAGATCTTGTAAAAAGGTACACTAGCACTTTTAGAGTCATACTCGAATATGAAGTGCCCTTTAGATATTATCAGTATTAAAAAAGCTCGGCCAAACGAAGACTCACCTGAAAGGGAGATATCAAGAAGTGACAGGAGTGTCAACGGTCTAGAAACTTGCGTTACTTATAGGTGTACGATCAGATGCACCTAAGATCGAGGCGTTAGGGGATTCGAGTACTCATATCCAAGCATTCAACAGCACAAGCTTGGACTAGGATAATAACGGGTGGCTGCTCTACCCTACCTGCCGAACTTCTTTTCGGAACGGGAGAAGCCGTATGCACTCCGCGAGATAATCATCGGGTGGAACCACCAATTGAGGGGTAACAATCTTTTGAAAGAGATTTCAGTTACAAACGAAAAGAAATAAATAAGAGCACAAAGTAGTATTGAAAAGTAGAAATCTCCGTAGCAGGGCTAAACCTAAATAGGACACTACGTTATGGACTACCTACTGACCATGTTCAACCCAAAAACATCTAATCATTCTCCTTCGCGAATAGAGGCTTATTACTAGCATTTTAAACTTCATTAAGACAGAGACCTAGTAGTATTATAGGAGAATATATGGTAAGTATCACTATTGATGATTCACGGTTAGGGAATGGAAATCAAAATGTAAGTAAATTAAATTACCTACTCTACCTGAGTATCTAGTGTTTGAAATTTGGTCGTCACAGAAAAACTTGGAAGAGTCCATCCAACTTATGAGTCTATTATTCTTATGGGGGTGTAAGATGCACCGATAGATATAGGATGATGTACGGATGCCCAAGAATCAACCTTGTCTACGTAGTTTCATACATGTTTGTTTACCCCCAATAGATTTTCATCTTTCATTTATAATGACTGCAGACGCTGTGATGCGTGAAACATCTCAGGGAGTGCTCCGAGCACTGCAAGATCGTGCAATATTGACAGATTTCTTTGGGTGCTGTCATATTTCAAATAAATTGCATCTCATTGTTCTACCGCCTTGAATCGGTCCTGTAATTTAATGGAGAGGGGTAGGCACAACATGACAACGCTTGGCAGAGATCGGTGTCATGTATGATTGCGATAAATCTACACTACTGTGGGACAGCATCTGAAATATTTCACATATTTCGTGATCCCGGTTAGGTATTATGGATTCCCCGGGCTCTGCTCATTTTTTGAGAAAGCCTTGTACCCTTCTAATACGAGCTAACGATCTGATAGGCAGTAATCACAACATAATCCTACCTTGGTATTGGGTATCGAGAATATCTCCTGGGTGTGTTAGGAAAGCTTTCTCGATTTTCTGATGTGGCTCTGCGACTAGGTTTGGTTGCATCTAACAAGGAGAATAATGATAATCGAAGTGGGTGTGGTCACAGCGTTTCTCGGGCAAATTCCCGATCATCGGTTGAGACGGCTTCCTCTCGGGAACGTATTCGCTGGTAACATGAAACAGGTCATGAAGCGAGCCTCGCTGGCACTTGGCTTCATCTCACAAGCTGAGAAGTTCTTTCTTTCCCATGTGGTCTAACCTTGTGAGATAAACCCCCAGGGCCAAAAGAGACCATCGGATTGATCTTCCCACTAATTAATTTTCCGAGACGAGTGCTAATATCATGAAATTTCACAATTCATTGACAAAAATTTGCTACGATGAGGTATGGTACTATATATAGTTTTCTCCTAATATTCTAACGTTTACATAGACTTGGTCCCGTAGTGTTCATTCTCACGGCTCATCTTCGGCTCAAGGTGTAGGGTACAATTAGCGACGAATAAACTGGATACTAAGGCCTAATGCACCACCGGAAATTTAAGTACAGTATTTCTGTCGCCAACTTGCTCTCAAAAATTCACGACAGACAGCATTTCTGTCACACAACTGTTCGTCGAACTCGATCTTGATCAATGATTTGAGACTATGATACAAAGATTGAATCTTAACCCAATAAATCAATTTCTGAGCTCTGCACAAACCCGGAGCTTTTGAATGATGGTACCAATTTTCCACGTGGAGTGGTGCCATCTCAACACACTGCTCACTCAACCAAGCCTCAGCCTTACCAGAAAAATTAATGTGGATCTGTACCAAGGTACAAAAAATTTCCGGTCTCACTCAAATGAAGAGATCACGACTTCAACGTGCGACCATCGTCGTGCCGAGTCGTACTGCATCAGCCCTATAGTTCGGTTCCAGTAGCTTGGCTAAGAAGAACTCGGATGTGTGTTTGATTGCCACACCCGAACTTAGGATGATATCAAAATTGCAACTATAGAGTTTTTGTCAGTCAAGACAAACATGTTGATTGGTATAGTCACCTGGTCTCTTCCCGGGCTCTTACTGTTATCGTTGGTATCCTTATGTGTGACCGCCTTGCCACTCTGAAATGGTTGCTTTCTCTCTATTTATGGCTTGATTTTCAGTTATCAACAATTGGAATTTCTAAAAAAAAATTAAGACTATAAAGGAGTGCCAAGTAAATCAATGAAATTGTGAGCTTGATGGAGGCAAAATATTACGAAATCTGGACGATTATCGTTGGAAGTCCAGGCTTACAAAAAGATCATTGGGCCTCGAAAACTGCCTTGGATTGCGTATTCCAAAAATCTATACTCGAACATTGTCGTGCTCGAACTAGATTTCAGATCCATTTGCACAACGAATTCCCAGTCTCAGTGAGCTTAGAGAGCTCCCAGTGCGAATATTGAATTGACCTTGCGGAATCCTCGAAATGGATTTCAAAGATTCCTCGTTTAACATGTTGAGTTTCTAATAACAGGAACTTCAATAATAGAACGTGATTCAAAAGGTCTTCATCCAATACACTGTCTGAATAGGCATGTCTGGTCGGAAAAGTTACGAATTTGTGGAAATGACCTGGTTCTAGGTCATTGATGAACACCGATGGCTGGCCATATAGACAAGTCGTTATATCAAGGTCTAGGTTTATGGTGGTTCACCCTCATGACAATTCTTCAGCAAGGTAAGTCGGGTTGTATTAATCGCGACCCCCAATGACTCGTCTGTAGGGTCATCATGCTAGCTATTTTGTCTGGATTGTTATGACTGTCATATTTGCAGGGACTTTTTATCATCCATGGCCATGAATCAATCGATCCGACAAATGAAATCTCATGGTTTTGCGATTAGAGTCGCAATACCTTGTCAGTCCCCAGGAAGCTTGCTGCCCAACAAGAGACTTAGGAAATTTGCCAAGGCCTTATAACAGACCCCGGGAGCCTACAAAAAAGCCTACATTCTGCGCCACCACGTCAACTTGATCACGAATCTCCATCTATTTATGTGGATTGTTCCTCTCTCTGAACTTTCATTTGCTTTCAAAGCACAACTATCTTCAAATAGTTGATCCCCAAAATGTCAGCCCACGTCCACGAACTTCCACACCTAATCGAGCTACACTTTTATCGACTTGACGAAAAGAAAGATCACGATGAACGATTAGCACTTGTTGCCTACGACAGGGAGGCAGGTATCAGACTCAAAGATGGAATGGTCAATTGTCCAGCTATGTGGTTTGACCAGAATGGCAGAGCCCACAATAGAAGTGGAATTCTCTTCAGAACTGCAAAGTCGCACGGACTTATTGGCATGATCCATATGCCTCCTCGTCAAGCTATCGATATGATTTATCGACATGCGGCTTTGGTGAGTACCTTTCTTTGTGTGAAAGAATCTCTCCGAAGCAGGACTAACAGCTGTGTAGTGGAGCGTATACACGATTCTCGGCTTTGAACTTAGCAAAGTCGAATCTATCGTAAGTATTTCCCATCGTTCCATTCCCACTAGAACAAAATTCTTACAATAGGTCCTTAGGAAATTCCCGATGATTGCAAGACGAGTACCAAAGACTCTGCTTTCGTAACCTTTGTGAACTGGCTCCGACTCTGGCTTCCCAAAGGATTTTATATTGATTCCCCCGATGACTGGGCCTATGCACGTCTAAATCAGGTTTCTCGCGATCGCAAACGTCGCATAATCCGAACTCGAGATGATGATGAACGCGGAAAAGCTGATGCGGAGAAATTTACAAAAGCAATATATACGGGGTTTCATCAAGTGGTGGAAGATAAGCCCGAAGATCTTTTTAGTGTGAAGGATCCTGGGGTGATGGGGCAAGGAGCTTGGGATGGAACGGGGGCGGAGGAAGATAGATTGATTAGGAGAGTGGAGAGAATGGTTAATAAGAGGCTGGGGTTTGAAGAGGAGGATGAATATGATGATTTGAAGAGTAGGTGGGGGGATTATGGGAATCTGAAGGTGATGTGAATATCGAATGATTGGTTGGAGATGTTGCATATTTTTTTTCTTTTTTAGTTTGATAGATTCATAGGCGTTTATTATGTAACGGGTAATGACTAGGTAATACTTTCAATCATGGACTCTGCTTGATCTCATAGCTGCCATGAACAAAAAAGATAAGATTGTTTACATTTGTGTTGAAATCGAATTTCGAAGACTTATTGCACTCTATCACTTACAGAAATAAACTTGTCAACTACCAAGTCTTCTGGGCAACCCAGACAAGCTTAGGGCAAGATATAGCACAACCATCACGCACTTGATCCATGGCTTCCCGGCTGAGTTGCAGTGATTCTTCGGGCTTCCGTACAATCATCTTTGCGAACTCATCCCAAGTACTCATATATCTAGAAAGTGTTAGCAAGATGTATACTCTCCGGAGCGTTGTGTTATGGTTTCTTACACGTCATTCCAATACCTTGCCATAGTGAGGTCATATTCTACTTTGTGGAGTCGGACATCTTGAAATCCATCTTCATTGAGTATGTCTACCATGTAGCGCTTCCAGCTGGGTTCGTTAGCAAATCGGGATCCAATTTTGTCAAGTCTCCACTTACTCATGAGATCCACATAGCTGTTGAAACAAGCGTCTTACGGCGTCTGTAGCCACAGAGGAGTCAATATTTTTGACAGTCCAATCGACGCTATCAGCCTCATCCCATTGAAGGAAACCACCAGGTTCTAGATTTCATACATCAGTACCATGAACACAATGGACTTGAGCATACGGTCAACTTACTAAGTAATTTCCGCAAATTTGCCAAAACAGGTTTGGGATCATTGTTCTTGATAGCAACTGTAATCAACCTCACATGAACAATATCAAACGTCTCCTGGAAATGTTTTGGTGGCTCTCTATAGACGTCCCAGGTGTGAAGATTGGTATTGGCCGGTAGCCATGGGGATGGAGGACATTGATCAAGACTGATGTCGAAGCCGTCTAGTCTTGCCGACGGAGGAACTTCGCGTGCCACATCCAAAAGCCAAATACTAGGATTGCATATAAGCGTTTGAATAGGAGGAGGAATTAGTGCCTTGACAAACCCGTTTCCTGTTGCAACATCTGCAACTCTTATCTGACTGTTGGCCGTAGGTATGTCTGGATGGATGTTGAACTTGAGAGCATCTTTCCACAGGTAGTGCTGAGCAGTAAGTCTGTTACAACAATTTCAGTCAGAAAAAGCGAGCTCAAGTGAATTTCAAGTGTTTAATGAATAACTTACCTAGTACTCGCGTTGAAATCACGCTTCAAGGCATAAACACCCTTGGGAATAGACTCATAAGTGTCGACCGACTGTGGAGCTGAAGCCATAAAGGGAGCCATTGCTATTTGATTGAATAATTTCTGAAGAGTTTTAGGGAAATAGGAAGAAGAATTGCGTAGAAACGCTGATGAATGGAGATAATTTTGAGGTCTGGAGCCTTCTTTATAAGCAGTGCTTACTCCTTGCAATCGTGAATGCCTGAAAACATGTGTGGCGAAGTACTGAATTCTATTTTTATGTCAAATACGTGTCGTCCGCGTTCAGTAGTGCTTTCTGTTCAGTTGATACTAATCAATCGTTCTGAAAGGGATAAGACGTTAGGTTGCAAGAGCTCTCACGCTGAGCCTTCACTTGATCTTCAGCTGTTGTACTTCATGATTGACGACAAGCACTCTGATTTCCATACGTAGAGTCATAAATAGAAGCGGGCAAAAGATTTGACGTCTTACACTTGAAAGACTTGGATCTCCAAGATATTGGCCATGTAATAGCAATCCCAGACACAGCACCAATAGCAGATGAAAACAAACTATAAAACAAGTAATTGCAACCTAACTTTCATTTATACCTGCTATAATTGTCCCGTTATGACTTCCAAGTTATTTAATGCTACTCCATCAGCTTTGGTAATGTAGCATGGCCTCTCTTGTCTCTTTTGTGAAACTTTCTTTTCTGCAAGATCCTGCCAGTAGGACTCTGCCAACCTCATCGATGCCATTGTCCGCCTGGAATTCTACAACCCCTATCTCGAACATATGGGATGAACACAGCCGGCGATACAATCTCTGGAATGAAAAATGCACCGTTGCGGCAAAAGAGCTACAGTGACATACTATTGACTCAATGCCGAAGCTAGAATGTAACACATGAGCATAAGCTGGACAGTGAGAAACGGCATTTATTACTCATCGTAAAATTGGTTTAAACATTATTGGTGAGGTTCCGGTAAGCCTGCTCGTTCCCTTGAGCCCAGAAATATCCGGAGATCAATTAAAAGGACGATCCGGTCTACAATAGTTCTGTGGTGCGATGTTCGTATACGGATTTCCCCTTTGATTTGCTTGAATGGATTACGTAGATGGATATTGATCAAATCTTATTCCTATTCCCACGTCAGATAGTGGCTAGTAGAAGCAATAATTGGTTGAGACCTCTTCAAAAGCGGTTACACAAACAACTTGAAATGTCATCTTCACATATTGTTTATCTCCCTAGAATGGTAGTCCAAGTCCAGCCTGGGGCACAGTCAACGCCTCAAAGCCCCTTGTGTCAAAGCCCTGGTATGGAAAACATCCCCGATATGCAAAACATAATCGTAGATGTGCCTCTCTCTAGTGTCCAAATTGTGACAAAAACAACCCATCATTTTTCTCATCGTCTTTTTAGATAACCAACAGTTACCTTGAGATATTAAACAATGCGAAAGGCTGGTATTACCCCAGTGGAATGGATGCGGGCGCTATAGTAGATCATGCTCTCGCAATGAATGGTGATGACTACTCTGAGACGTTGCATTGTCTTGGGTTCCTCTTGTCTACTCGGCGTCATTCTGGATGAATGCCGGGCTGAGTAAGCGCCTAGGTCAAAAGTTTTATCGGATTCTGAAAGGAGGGACATAACTTTTTGGAGACCAAAGATAAAGTTTGGAAAGAGTGTATCAGCTTTCCAGATGAACCTTTAGAACTTGCTACATTTCTAATTTCAAATTTCTCAATACGATAAATGAGAAGTTATTGGGTTTTGACACAAATTTGGTTTGAGTAGATCCTAGTAGTGAGAAAATTTGCAAAATCAAAATCGATCCGGCAATCAATAAAGATGACACCGAGAATCATGTCATCACTGTGTCTTACCTGGCCTATCATAAGAACTAGACTATATTTTGTCAAAGAAAAGTACCTAGGAAGTGGTTAAGCACACTAGAACTATACGATGATCTAAATGGGAACTCCTCATTGGTTCTGGACTGAATTAGATTGGAGGCACTATAGTATTGTGATTATGCGTTTGAATTTGTTGCATCGTAAATCCAAGTCATATGGCCTATGATAGCGATGATTATGTATCAAAATAGACGAGTATACATTGGACCGTTTCCCCATTATAGATCACCTTGCATGAGCTCCTAGTCAAGATCTACTGCCTCATAATCGAGAGAATATCACCTATTCCATTCCATAAGTCTAGTATAGAACGCTGCATTGTTTCCTAATTCTCAAGCTAAGTCCATTTCTCAATGAAATTAAGGGTTGTTTGAACGATTTCCTCGGGGCAGCTGATAAATGGACAATGGGATGTCTTGAGATCTGCAATATCCCACGAAACTTTGCTCTTCTCGATCCAAATATCTTGTAAAAACAATGGATTGCATTGGTCGTCCGCAGTACGAATGTAGACACGACGTCCATCAAAAGAAGCCTCTGCCCAAGCTGGAGCCGGAGCCGGGGTCTCGAAGGCTGCTAAGGCATGGGGAATCATAGCAGCTTCGAGATTCGATGCTAAAGATGTGTCACAATCAGCGTAGAGGATTGGCATTACAGGATCAATGACTGCAAGACCCGGAGATGGCTATGGTAAAGCAAAAAGTTTCATTAGCATTGGACAAGCCCGCCAACTCGGCTGGCTCGGGTTCAAACTCACTGTTCCACTTTTGATGAAAGGAGGGTATGCACCACCGACAGCTTCAAATAAGCTTTCACCTTCACAGACAATATTGCCGACCCAATATACCAGACCCAAGACACCACCAGCTTCGCCGCGAGAGTTACGAGCAGCTTTACTCAAACCAGCTGCAGCAGCTCCTCCAACGACTCCTCCATAAGAATGAGCAATAACAATTACATCTTTGTGTTGCTCTTCAATCAGAGGCAATAGAACATTTTTGCGAGCTTCTGAAACGTCGTTGGAGGAAGATATTGAGTCCAAATTGGAAGGGTCTGGATTGCAGGAAGGAATGCGAACATAGACGAATGGATATCCGGCCTTCTCGAAGAGAGGCACAACACGATCGAAGCAAGAGGGATCAGCAAACGCACCCGCAAAGAATACCAGAGTTGGACGAGGAGAATTCATATCGCGATATTAGATTTGAAATAGTTTGAAAGGTGTTATTCAAAAGTTGTTCAAACAGAAACATTTCACAGTAGATCAGCCCATATATGTGCGGGTAACTATCACGATGCATGCATCAGCAATGTTGGGTCTAACTTGTTTGAGAATCAAACGGGTGGAAATGATCGGCAGTCAGCGGGTAAAATCCCTCGCCAACGTTACACAGTGCGGGGCTTGCGACTTCTCTTGATGCATTGCCCCTATCAATGATCCCTGCTCTAATATGGAGATATCCCGAGGCCTGTACCAAGAACAAGAAACAACCCTAAAGATAGATTAAAAGACATATAAAAGTAGCCAGGTACCTACCCAAAGCTGTGTTCGATTCCTCCGTTGTGCCGATATATAGCGAGATTCACTAAGATTATTGATTAGTCTTTTCGAATCTCGATATCCTATCGATTTAAGACCTTCAAAATTTGGTTGCGTTGTATAGTTTCATATCACGACTTTTATTTGTCGAATCAATGATGGATGATTGAACCGCCTGAACACAGCATCAAATCCAATACACGGCTGAGTCTGAGCTGATGGCCATTCCTTGAGCATACATGCGTATAATTCTACAGTAAGCCAAAACCATGTAATATGAGATCAAGTATCCGAAGATGACTGCATGAAAGGAAGCGGCATATGTGTAACATCAGAATTTTACCATGTTATATTATACTTGCTGCTGACTACCGGACCGGTATCCTACGGATTGCTGACTTGGAGCTGTCTTCATACCTATCTTCACTCCATCCTATTCTTACTGCAAATATACGTCTGCTATGGCTGATTCAATCGATCTGTCTGCCAGTAGGCAAGCCAATTTATACGCAGCAGACATTATCACATTTTTCGCAGCTGTAGTGGCTGTGGGACTTCGCATTTGGTCGCGGCGAGTTGCTGGTGCTGGTTTGTGGTTGGATGATATTTTCATTTGCATAGCACTGGTAAGTTTCCACTTGCGAAGAAGAAATCGGGATTAATTCAATCCAGGTTGGCGGTGTTGCGATGATGATTAATTTTTGTTGGTGTAAGTTTGAGCTCTCTGCACTCATTCACTCCTTTCACTGTTACTCATCCAACACTAGGGATACCAAACGGATTTGGAAAACATATGGAGGCATTTGGCCCTAAAGCGGAATATAGTTTCTTCTTGGGGTTCTTCATGGCTGAAATTATATACACCGTCATCATCGTCTTTGTCAAATATTCTATCTTGGCCTTGTACTGGCGAGTCTTTCGAAGCACCAGTATCAAGTGGCCAGTAGCAATACTAGCGGCGATTGTCACATCTTGGGGAATTGCAGTTGTAAGCGATCCATCTCTCCATCCAGTGCCAGGATTTTAACTCAACCCATTTAGCTTTTTCTCTCCATTTTCACTTGTGTGCCTCCCAAAGGCTTCTGGGATAAAGACATACATGCTTCTTGCAACGTCAATAGCCAACAGTTCTTGATTGGTATTTCGGTTCCTAATATCCTTACGGATGTTGCTTTGCTTTTATTACCAATCCCATACGTTCTGCGATTGAATACTGCCTGGTCTCAAAAACGACTCTTGATGGGCACGTTCCTACTTGGAGGATTGTAAGTTCCCAAAAAGTCCTGTAACTTATGTCTAATATGCATTTAATCTAATTTCAATCTGATACAGCGTCTGTATAGCATCAATTATGAGGTTGATCAGTGTTTGGCAGCAGAACTCGGTTTCGGATTTTAGCTGGAACTGGGTGAACCAGGGGATATGGGCGGTGGTGGAGAGTAATTTTGCAATAGTATCAGGTAGGCCGCTTCACTTATCTTCATACACTTCCCAATTTTTATCTCTCCCATCCTAAATGGATCATGCTGATATTAACCGACGAAAGCTTGTCTTCCGACCCTGCGCATCGTATGGGTGTGTATGTTCAGGCGCAAGAAGAACGTAACATCACCACCATCTTCGGACAGACCAGCAATTTGGACAATCGGATCGGGTCCCAGAAAACAAAATCGCAAGAGAAAAGGAGAGTTTACTCTCGGGGAATCAATGTCGACGGACTCAACGCACCCGTTCACAAGCTTACATGATGCTGAGGAAGGCAATATCTCGGCTGATAAGGTGCATGTACGTTCAAGCATAGAGGTACACTCAGAAAGGGACACTATGAGTTCCCCTTATCGGGAGAACTTCAATATGGTTCCTTTGAAACGTGGATCAGAACCGTCGGAGAGATAAGCTCCTTCTCTTGCTTCAGGAATTTCAAACAAATTCATTTCGATTCAAAGCACACGCGTCTTTAGACCAAACGTTTTTCCATCAATATAACTTCCATATGTCTGCTCCTTTCCTGCTCTTACTATTCGAGTTAGATCCTCAATATTCTGTACGCCATCCAACAAGTGCATGTATGGCAGGTAATCATTTTGTCAAGCAGCAGCATGTATTTGTCGCAACTTTTTTCAATACTCAATTTGTTATCAGCGCAACGATATTTTGGCAGCAACATCAAACTAGTGTATACAACCCCAAAAAATATTGATAAAGACGCTCTGCGGCCTCAGAGCTTGCTAGGATTTTGTAGTAGGGCTTGTTTCCAACTGAGTTGATTTGATTAGAGTATAGTTGGCTCGAACAACACTCTGTCTGGTAACAAGTGATGGAGGAGACAAACTATCTCCCATAGTCTAAATTCTGATAGCTCTATCGAATTCTTGTTTAGCAGATCATGCCACGCAGGAAGCGAGTCCATTTAGGCTAAAGAATAGGGAGCGGTCCAGAAAGTGGGGCGGTTCGCGTCAAGGAATAAAAGCTTTGTACTTCTGTGTTAGTTTAAACATTCAACGACCTTTCAGAGTACGCAAGAAAGAATTTGAATTTGAAGACTAAAAGTCGCACAAAGATTCCGTGCGCAGAATCAAATTTTGTGACGCATGCGAATTAATATTCTGGGACATGTGAATGTAGCGACACTTGCAGCCACACGGTGAGTATGAAAGGCAGACTGATGCAAGAACTAATAGGATGATTGTAAGGAAAGTACTCTGAATTTGCTCAGTCCGATGCCGTACACTATATCGAGTAGTAGCTCCTAGACTGATGTAGAGGACGAAAGTAGATTGCCACCACAAGCGAAATCAATAAATTCAGTTCAGGGGCCAACGATATGATTTTATCCAGTGATTTTGTTTATTTGTTACCCCAAGGAGAATTAATAAGGATGACCGAGATACAAAATCTACTGTTGACTGAATAACCTGTGTAGGGAGCGGGGTAATGATATTGCCATCCTTATTTGTCGAGCCGCTACTTAGCCAAGGTTGTGAAACGGTCAAGGAGCATTGTTAACTCAGTTAACAATGCCCCCTGTCAACTGCATACTCTTTAGTGTACTGCTACTTGGCGAAAGTTGTGAAACGGTCAAGGAGCATTTTTATTTTCTAAAAGATCATACTTCAACGGGAAGCCTTATAGAATCGCATTGCGACTTACGGTGTAATTTGCGACGAAGCGACAACCAATCCGACTAGATCCCAAACGAGCTGCCGATTCGGACCATTTCTTGTGGCCGAAACCCGAAATGGTTCGGCACGATATAGCTCATGAAATAAAAATCTTGGCATCTAGCTTCAAAACAACTGTATCTGAAGAACAAAATTTCGACGTTTCCAAGACATTTTTCACGCAGTGTTATCCCTCGAGGCATACTCCGTACTACATAATCCGCAATTCTTTCTGCGTAAATGTGTACGTCATCGATACTGTGTTTCGACAAGGCTGAATTCCCGAGTTCTGGGAGTATGCTGTCTGCTATAGCAGGACGTATGTTCAGTACAGTGGTCGTTGCACAAAGCAATTAATCTGTATGCTCATTATGCTAATCTCCGTGCAGATATGCCGATACAATATTCAAAAAGACCTGTTCTTTTCGCACCGAGATAAAAAGCTTGAAATGTATACGCATGAAACTCTCTCAACCTGAAGTCGATGGGAGATTTCATTCGGATCTACATATAAGGAATAGGTATATCTCAAAAACCTTAACTTTCGAAAGAAGATGTGAGCTTACTGCAATCAAAACGATTATATTATTGTTTGCATCTGAGTTGTATTCCTGACTGGATGAGGTAAGCATAGCTACTTCAAAGCATCAGCCTGGGTGGCAAATCTTTTTGTATCAACGAAAATAATTCAGTATCAGCTATTCTACCTCGGAACAATACGGTTTACATTTCTTTTAAATATTTTCGAGACGCATACGCACCGTTTTGCCCCTATCAGCCTCGAATCGCTTTCAAATCACGACCGAAAATACGAAATATCGTAGTTTGCAATTGGTCCGCATGTAGCTCGCAAAGTCAGGATTTTCCTTCTCCCACGCAGCCTTGTTGGTCAAAATCATTTTGGAGCCTTAGCCTCGAAGCCATCTCGAATCCTAACCAAGAATACCAAATGTTATGAATTTAAAGTATTTCGCATTGCTTTAGGCTCTCGAAATTGGTTTGCTTTGAAAAATTGTCAACAATGTTAAAGATTGTGGTTCTTGAAGAAAAGATCGTTTTGTCATATCATCTTTGCCTCGCTGCAATCATCCTCAGCCTCTTTGCCTTACTACGTGTAATATTTTTCCAGCCTCCGTTAACTCCTCGATTTCAAGCAATAATACTAAAGAATAATTTGGTTCTCATACAAAAGTGCCCCTACTTGGCCTTACCCAAGCTTCCAAGTATCCTTCAGCGTCTGGCTGAGAAACTGCGCCTTTCTACAAACTTTAAGATGCTAATCGAACCAATGATATCACTCGGAGCTCAAACATACTGTCGACTTTCATTTCAAACCTAGGTACACGGGCTCGCGACCGACAGAAAAAACCGAACACCAAAATCTACACCTCAATAAAAAATTCATGAATAAATAGCAATTGGATATAATCCCTTCAAATCATTGTAGATGATTATTTATTAGCTTCCAATCCCTATTGAATAATTTCAAGAGATTCAAAATATTAAATTGAATTAATACTGAATTTTGAAAAAGGCTCTTTTTCAAATTTTCGCTTGTTTTGCGGGTTTGGTGTTCGGTTTTTTCTGTTGTTCGCGAGACGGGATGATTTTCTTAAGTGAGTCGGATACAGAAAGGGTACATCAACGTGAGCATGTACGTCTGCTTCATCGCCATGTTCATAGGTCCACATCTTTATTTGACCCCACCTCTGGCAAAGCAACATTGCATGTGCTGTGTTACCAAAAGGGAAATAATAACTATGAGTTACTCGGGGCGAGGAATTGACTATACCTCATCCAATGAAATCCACGGCTCCTTTCTTACCCTTACCAATGATTTACAATTATGCACACCCCAAAATCCGAAGAGTTCGCTTTGGGAAGTAGGCACTAGATAGGGTTACAACCGCGACCCAACAAGGGTTAGTAAGTAGATGTGGGAAGTTCCTAAATGTGGAAGCGAGATATCGTTGAAACCGCGACCGAACAAGGGTTTGGCAAAAATGTGGAAGAGTAGTATGGCACTGTGACCCGTCACTACCTTTTGCTCGTTGCATGAGACTTTCAGAAATAAGTGACCGGACTGATTGCTCATGAGTTTCCTTCAGTGCTTTGCACGTACATATATAAACACTTTATTCCCATGATGTTTTCACTATTTTCTTTCTTTAAATAAGATATTCTTCTTGCTCATGCTCTCAAACTTCAATTCCTAACCTCCTCTCGCCAACCCCGAACGATACGTCTACGTACCTCAAATCCCAAAGTAACTATGTCGAACACTAGTAAAAGCTCCTGCATCGCTGTGCAAGGCTCTATAACCTCCGAGTAAGTTATCTTTGTTTCCTGCATTCGATAATACCATACGGGATATTATCTAAAGTTCGCAACATACCATGATGTTCCTCGATAGCTTTTTTCTTTCTATCTCTAGCCTTTTGAACTTCAAGATAGTCTTTCAGCAGTGTCTGCATAGGATCAAGTATCCTGCAGCTCGTCCTCTCTGTCCATCTTTGCACATCCCGGTTTCACCTGCTATGAGGTTATCTATAGGCAAAAACTACTAAATGCAATGCAATACTCTATTTTCAATCAAGAGCTCTTTCATTCCTCCCTCTCAGCTGTGACCATTTCAAGGAATAATTTCTAACGTATCCTCCTTCGATTTAGCCCAAGTACTACCTCGCATAGCCCTTCGAACGCTACGTCCTCCACTGAAACTGAGCACCTCTCTACACATCGTGTTCAACGCTATCTTGCCAATAACGACTCCCCCGTGCCATACATCTTGCCTACTGTCCCTGTCGACGGCAATCTCGACAGAAGTTCGACTGCTGTGCATGCAATGAGCGGGAAGTTGCAGCAGTTCGATGCAATATTCTATCGTAAATGAGAGGCTTGCTACATCACTTGAAGGTTCGGATTGGGCTTGGCATTGTGGATGGTTACGAGAGAGGCCTTTAGGATGATTTGATAACTTAACAAGAATGGGAAATTTATCATCAGTTTGGGGAATCTTCAATGAAGTTTCTACACAAAGTGATTTTATGATAACAGTGAGAATTAAGTACTCTTAATCATGAGTTTTCTTTCGATCAAGAGGCGCTTGCGCAATTGTACCAAGGTCACGTAGAGAAGGACCAGTCAACTTTGTGATCATGAAGAAATGGTGAACATGCCTGGTGAATTCTACCATAGTAAATATACGGTCTACCCTTAATCAATTGTGGGCACAAGAAATTATTGATACGAGTTTCATGTACCATTCTCCGTACAACTCAAGTGGGTAAGATAGGTAACCTCCAACATGACATAAGTGTATTTTTGTGAAGAAGGCGAGGTAAATCGATATTTCAGACTTCGAGAGATTCAATAAGGCAAGCTGACGCACTATAATTTTGAACCTATTGACCTTGACATAGACCCGATAGAAACTTGTCGTTCTAATCTATGATGAAAAGGTGAAACGAGTCAACGACCACTTAGAAGATAAAGCTTTGGAAAGCAATGATGTTCTTTCAATCTCCAGTCTTCCCTTTTCAATTAGAACAGCAACTGTAGTGTTAATCATCCCAAAGAACGCCATAAAGTTCTACTTGAACTCAAGCCACGTGAGAAGCGTATTGCTGACCGCCATGCTTCACAGTTGGTAATTGTATCTCGGAAATGTTGGCAAGTAGCACGTGAACCGTGGGCCGGACTCAACGAATCGCAATTCTGGAAGTAAGTTGGTTCCCTTCTTAAATCATACTTCACCATCTTGCCTTGTAAGATGGCCTGTTGGTATGTTGAAATGAGTGTGAGTGGAGAGATCATGTTGTTGGAAGAATGAAACACAGGGGAAATTAACTTCTCACTAGCAGCAAAACAGGAATAGTATGTTTCTGCAATGTGGGGTTGGACCGATATGCACTAGCGTCTTAGGAACTGCGTCATTAGATGATCCTGCAGCTTTTGAAGCTTAAGCTGCTTTTCTCCTTCATCTATTAAAGACCCAGGTAGATAATTTAATTTCCATCTTTCTATCAAGAATATTGGAGTAGAAAGAACTTTTATAGCAAGCAAGCAAGCAATACGATTGATAACGTACTACTTTGAAGGAATCCCACATTATTGTCTTATTTACAAACTACATTAAAAAAGAAATCAAATCAAGATTCTTTCAGCCAACGGAATTCAAGAGCCTAATCTTATTACTAGGCGTAAATCTTTAGTCCAGCCTTACAGCTCCAGAGACTATCGAGCTAATCAACCCACCTTGAGAGCAAGCGAACCAAACGAGCCAAGAAGCTTCCAATTCCACCAAACATACCTACGTTGTTACTCAACCTGAACACACGATAAATAACTAAAAATCACCTCCTAATACAAAGTTCACCGTCAAAATGTCATCTACACCTACATTAATCGGTATGCCCGAACCGCCATCGACTGTCGATACTCCAACCGATGCACCGTACGTAGTTGCCCCTCCACCACCACAACCACTCTCTAACATACCACTAATCTAATTCTCTTTAGAGGAACTCCCAACTCAACAACCACATCCCTCTCCGCTCTCTCCACAACCGCCATCAAAGATGGACATCGCGGCTCTGCCCACCCTACCGCAAGTTCTCACCACCAACACACCCTCTCTAGCAATACTCTCGAAGCACAACGCGCGGATCGAATTTCCCGTCTGGCAGGACTTGAACGAGTCACCACCGCGACCCCTCAAAACCCCAGCGGTAATACTTCTGTCCCCACAACCGGTCAGATCCCGGGCTATTTCGATCAAGCCGGAAACCCCGTCTATACAACTCGCATGTCTACCGTCGGTTCCGCATCAGCAACCGGATCTCTCACCGGTCGAACAACCACATGGGCATCCAATAGCACGAAGGGACAAACGGAAGCCGATGATGATGAAATGAGCATGGATAACAACTTCCGGGAAATTGATGATCGGGATCGATTTTCCGCATCTGCTATGGATGAAGAAGGCAATGAGGATGGAATGAGCGACGATACGAGCTTAGTCGGTTTTGGCGAAGGAGCCGGAAGTACCGTCAGCGGACCAATATACAGCCGGAGTAATCTTCTCGCGAGCCCCCTCACCGTAGGAAAAAGCGGTCTAGCAAAAGAAGTCTCAAGCAGCAATCCCGGAACCCCCGTCAGCGCATCGACATCGACAACCACCGAGCAACAGAAACGCGATGCGAGAATGCTAGATGGAATCACTGATGATAACACAAGTGGATATGTAGACACGGCTGCGCGGGGTCAAGGGGTAGGAATTGCCGGAAATCGCAATTCGACCGGTTCGGGATTGGGTACGGGAGTGGGTGCCGAAGCTGCCGAAAAGATTCTGAAAGAGAGAATTGAGGATAGTCCTTCTGCGGCGAGTAGACCACCGCTTGGTAGTCCCGATCAAGCTGGTCTTGGAAAGTTCTACTTCGAGGAAAAGAAATGAGGTTTCTTTCTAACAAAAATCGCCATGGAGAATTGTGGGATGTGTTTAGGACAGTGTGCATCAAATCTTCCAAAGTCTGTATCGTTCAATGTTGGCGGGCGTTGACATGTTACCTTTTTTTTTCTTTTTCTTCCCTTCTATGTATGGGTACCTATGATTTGGGCTGGGCTAGGCTGGGTTGATAGCGGATAGGTTGGGAACAATGGAGGGAGGGGGTTCTGGAAGATTATTAGGTGGCTGGGCAGGCTTCTTCTTATGATAGGTATGCTGCGTAAGATGATACGATATTCTATGATGAATGAAATTGATTGATTCATGAATGGATGAATACGTGCATGCATGCAGGATTTTAAATATATTATACCAATATCAATATCAATATCAATGTGAATGAAATATGTAAAGGGAAATGTAAAGAATAACGAATACGAATATTTCTCAAACCCGTCGCTTCAAATCGGGCCCCTTTTCCTTTTCCATCCCCGGCCTTCTCCTTTCCGTAGCGAAAAAGCAAGAATTGTCGATCTCTTCCTCATCCGCATCACACTTCACTTCACATGATATCATATCCCATCATATGCCATCCCATCTTACGATATCAATTCATATTCAAGGACGTTTATAGGTACCGCAAATCACTATATTAGATTATAGTAGTGTAGATAAGCAGGTAGGCAGGTATTATCATATACATCATATGCACCAAGATCCTCACCTCACCTGTTCCCTCTCATTTTTCACCCCCTCCATCATTTACTTCCTTATATCCGCCTCTGCACTCCTTCATTCATCCCCTGCTCACATGCTACATGTCCGCTCGATTTAATTCTCAAGCTTCAATTCTCAAATCTTCCACTCCATATTCATCACCCCTATATTCATGATCTCTAGACTTGAGTAATCCTCCCCCTTTAAAATGACCCCTCACTTCTGAAAAGTTGCACTTCGTCCCCCTCTCTCCCCATTTTGCACTCTCCTCATTCCCTTCTCCGCATTACTACTCTTCTGGTATGGATCAAAAGGTTTCTTTTCTTTCTTTCCCTTTCCACCCTTTCCACCTTTGTCTTTCTTATCCTTTTTGGAATTAAGTACCGACTCCGCTTTGCTGTAATCGAAATCTTCTTCTTCTTCTTCTTGTCCTTGTTCTTCATCCGCTTGTTCTGCTTCCGATTTCTCTACGTCCTCTTCTACTTCTTCATTTTCAGATTCTTCTTCTTCTGCTTTACGTTCCTGTGCCGCTGCTTTGAGCTCCTGGGCTGCTTCTTTCTTTTGTTGTTTTCTTAATCGTTTCTCCTCCATTTTTGCAAATTTAGCCCGACGTCTTTCGGCCTCGGTGGAGGAGGTATAGTCAAGAGAAATGTCGTAATCACCGGTAGCCTTCTGGTCTTCATCTGGATCTGTGATGGTTTCGCTCTTTCTCTTCGAGCCTCGCTTTAGAACAAATGGTTCGTCTTTTACTTTGCTAGGTGTGGGTGTTGCAACAGGCGTCTGTGCTTCGGGCATGACCATACGGGATCGATCGGTAAGAGGCGTACTCGTTTCAGCGAAAACTTCTTCTGATAATTGGGGTAAGGGTATTGCGAGTCTCATGCTATCTTGATCCGGAGTTGTGGTTGAGGGCTCCCATATGCTGCTTCCAAATGCACCCCCCCAGAAAGAGGATGTCTCTGTTGTAAGTTCTGTTTTGTCTACCGGTGTAACGTCAAGTTTGGATAGCTTTTGCGATGTGGATTTCGCTCCAGTGTTGGATTTTGGGGTGGCGGCAGAATCCGGTGATTTTCTTAGGACGTCTATCGATTTTGGGCCATCTTTTCCGTTTTCTTTTGCCGCCTTAATAACTTCCAAGAGTTCCCCAGTACGCGATTTTACGCTGTGAGATATTGGTCGAATGATACTGAGTAAGGCTATCATATCCATGGGCATGAATTTGGCTAGATTGACAACAACTGAATTCGACATGACGAAATTAATGCTATCATCATCCTTTCTTGCTATCTGATCTCTCCAGGCGTGTACAGCTTTGAATACTGAGAATTGCTCACTACTTAATAGAGCAGGCGTTTTGTAAATTAGTGAAAACCATCCTCCTGGCCCTTTCCCAGATTCCGCGTTGTATAGCTGTCGCTCATATCGAAGTAACGAAGTCTCTTTAGACTTTTGTAAGACTATATCCATCGAGGTTGCTACGGGTTCCTCTGCATCAGGCGTTTCAACATCAGGTGCGTCGAGTAATTCATTTCGCAAATTGTCAAAGATGTAAAGAAGAAAATGTGTGTCAGCCCTAGCGTAGAAGAACATCTCCTCGGGAAGTGGCCTGAGGAATAGTTAGTTTAATGATATAAAGTCTCGTGCTATGAGCTCACCTAATTCGCCAATCTGCTAGTTGGTATTTCTTGTCGGCGTCGAAATCAATATACTTCTTTAATAAGAAGGCTAAGCTTCCTCCAGCAAACCCCAGCCTTCTGCATGCATAGTGTGTATCGAACAAGCCAACTACATATAGGCCGAGGTCGCGTTGGAGCCATACAATATCCATATACGCGCCATGGAAGACCTAAATTGTTAGCTGACATTGAGGAAATTTGAAAAGCATCCAACATACCTTGATTATATTTGGATTGGCGAAAACTTCATTAAGTACTTGCAGCTGTTGTCTCCATGGCTTGAGAGTATCGACAATCCAATCCTTTTCGCGAGTACTGATTTGCATCAAAGATACGAGACCAACATATGAACGAGTATCATGATGTTCCAAGTCGACTGCGATTTCCGTAGCGCCTTTGAGCTCTTCCAGCATCTCTAAAACACCCTCGTAGGTATCAACGAATTTCGCGGACGTGCTTTCAACGGGTAAATATTTTATGGGTTCCGCCTTCTCATACATAGCGCTGGGGTATTGTAATTGTAAGATTTCCGTTTCGTAAGGATGCTTATACCTGAATTGCTTGTTAGTAAATCCTATAGTGGAACCCATTTCCTGAAGCTTTCTTAGTTTCTCCCTTTTTACTTTGAAGCGACTGGCCCTGGCTGACTTGCTTAAGTCTTCCAGCTTCTTTCCTTCACGCGGGGAATCCGGGAGTAGTGCGAGGGGGATAAAATTAAAGTAGTCATACTGTTTCTGGTCGTATTCGTTTGTAATCATTCCAAGACTATCCTCTAATGACACTTTCGCATGCGGTTTTGTCTTAAGAAGAGGTAGCCACGGCGATGTATCCTCGTTGTTAGGTTTGACCTCGAATGCGAGTTGTGGCTTCACAAGGTTTTGTGTACGGAGCGAATTGTCGAGGGGTTGTTTCTGTGATTTCATTGTCGCAGAAGTCTGGCAGAAATCAGTATGCAATTGTATGATATATGCGATTCAATAATCACCTCTTCCCCTTGTTTTCTTTTGATAATTCCTGTATATTCGTCGAGGCAAGTATCCGTTTTTTCGAGTAAGGAATCCACAACATCCACAACACCGCGCCAATTGTTATCAACGTCGTCGACATCTTCTAAAATTGGGACCTGGATACCAGAGACGGAAGCTGCAGACTTGAGCAACTGATTGGCAAGTGCGAGCAAGCGTGCATTCTGTTCGTCGAGAGCACTTCCCACTTCAGGATTTAATGATCGATGAAAGCCGAGATCTTCTGATGCTATATAACCGGCAGTTTTGACCGTTGTTACGAGAGCAGCTTGAACTTCATCTTGTAAGGACTTGAAATCCTGTGTATCTTCTGCCATAATTGACAAAATCAATTTGTTGTTGTGTCGAAGAAGATTGAGATGAATTCTGCGATATGATTTGGTCAAAAAATATTCAAAAGTTCAACTTTCTTACCCTTGTCATTATTTCAAACGGTGGGTGGAACTACCTATACTAGCTCATGTTTCTAAACCTTGTTGCAGGTTAGGTCCTCCGCATTTTCATCAGTTTCATTTCAGCCAGAATTCTAAATTCTTTCACTGATTCACGACTTTCACGACTTCACATGACAAAGGATTTCACCTATCGCCACACGAGTTTAGTAGTAACAAGGCACAATACAAAAATACAACTTCCTATCATACAATCTCACACCAAAATCTTCTCACAATGTCGGCTTCACTTGCACCTGAATGTAATGAAGTCAAGGAGTATGTAATATCTACTATATTCTATTCGTTTCTGAGCCAGTTTTTAATATGCTGAACATTTCCAAAGACGATATGATTCGTGCTTCTTGAAATGGTATAGCGAAAGTAAGTAAGGTTCGTTATTGGAAGTATAGACATGAACTAACAAGATCATTAGAATACCTTCGAGGTAAAGGTACAACTGATGAGTGTGAATCTTTGTTTAAAGATTACCGGAAATGCTTAACAGTAAGTCTGGAAAATCCTTCAGTAGTGCTGAACGATTCCCATTCTGACTCATATAGGGTGCTTTGAAAGAACGCGGTATTGATAAAATGCTTGAAGAAGCACGAGAGGATCATAAGGAACATGATGCCACAAATCTGCGACGGCCTTGTGAGTTACTCGGACTATACTCTGGGGGAGGGAATCTGATAGCTAATTGTTATGTAGAATGGAATGCATACATGATATCAGACTGTATAAACAACACTACTACCTATGCATGGGAAAGGCGCTAGGATGATCTTTCAGGTTAAGATTCTACTATTATTGGGGACTTAAAACTATCTCAACTTTGCATGAATTCCAAAAAAACAGTAACATTCTATACTCATAAGCAATACATCGACGTAGCACGAAGGCCTTTGATAGCCATCAAAGTTTAGATGGAGATCCCGTTTAAGAAACATAACTTATTGAAAGTGCAACTTCTTTACATCTCTTCATTTCATCAATATAGTACAGCATCAATCAACCATATCCATGTATATGATATATCAAATTATATAGCTTGAACATCCTCATTTCCCTCTTCATTCCTTTCCCATCAAATGTTCACCAACTTCCAAGCCTCACACTAGCACGTGATTATAATTCTTAGCCTATAAAGCTTAATTTCATCCACCCCCTGCAAAAGAACAAATTGCTTTCAGCCTTTCTCTGGTGATTTCTCCAGATAAGTTTAAATCCCTGTATCGGGATTGGTTTATATGAAGGGAGATCCAGAAAAAAGAATCCCACCCAAAATCTGGACCCTGACTTTAAACAAATATGTGGGATTCGAGAACCTCATACTTGTGAAAACACCTTTATATATTCTCATCCTACCTAGGTACTACCCATATCATCCATTCTCTCTTATCCCACCCCTCCACCTTCACTCCTCCAACCATCAACTTTTCCGCTGAGTATCGTAAACTGCAGAAGCCAGTAAAGCCGTCTCGAATTTCCTACAGCAGATGATTACAGTGATGCGCCAGCAATAGAAACAATTCATGCACCCCTTCTCAATCCTCACACTTGCGATTTTCGTAGCCGGCTACATCACTGCGAGGTGGGACCTGGTTACTAGACTTTATGAGCTTGCAATATTCGCATGGGATCACGGAGTAGTGGTTAGCTTTGGTTTCCCCTGAATCAATTCGATACATGTCACTGATATCATTTGGCGCATAGGCACGAACTTTGAAAGGATTCGCGATTCTTTCCCTCTTCTTCTTTTTATTCATTATACCAGTAGAAAGGCTCGCGTCGAGGGAGACGACACTAGTAAAGAAGCATTACATCTACAACCATAAGCCTAGCTAATAATCCAATAGCATCCACGATCTGGCAGCGTCGGCATATCTGCACGAGAACAATTGCGACGTCGGGGTTCTTTCTGAAGGAAGAGAGTTTATGATAATTGAGCATTTGTCATGCCCGATCATGATGGATTGATGAGGATTTTCTGGCCGAGGGATATCCCAAGGAGCGATTCACCTGGAGTAATAGTTGGCTGGAGAAATTCTGGTCTTGATATTTTTGTGGTTGCGATATTGGAGGATGTTGACGTGAGCAGCGATAAGGCTATATGAAATTGGAACCGACTGACGTAATTGCAGGCGCGCAATGTAGAGAATGCACTGAAGGTTGGAACTCTGTTCCGAAATGCCAGCCATCCCATCGAGCGAATATATGAGTTATGTGGACAGTCTTCACTACAGGTATTGGGTGTGACAAATTCACCAAAAGCAGATGTCGATACTCTTCAAATCCGCGCAATCACAGGGTCGGCGTACAAATTACCTCAGATATCCTGTGCTCGAGCATCAACGAATCAAATAGTTGTCTTTGATCGACCTCAGCCTAATAGGATGCAATATATATCTCTAAAGCCAATATCATTGGCATTGGATGACAAGGCTGAAATGACATTTCATGCACCAGGCAGTGTTGATGCGGAGGAAGAACGAGAAGAAATAAGACAGAGGAAGAGGACTCAGGAACTAGTCGAAAAGTTGAAGTACCACTCCGTCGTTAAACATCCACCATCACAAAAAGAACTCGCCTTGCCAAGAATAGTCAATCAAATTAATTGTGCTTGGGAGGTCCATCAGTTATTACAGAAAAACATCTCGCTAGTTGGAGCTCGGTCAAGGAGAAGTCTGAGCGTGTCGGAAAGGGTAGTGGAGTCAGCAACCACGATGCGTGATTTCGTTCTTTTGACAATATGGCAACTCATCACCCTCTACATATATCCTATCATCAGACGTGGATTTGTTGTTGGTCTCGTTTGTCATAGATTTGCTGCTGAAGCTTTACTATTGATTCTAGAGTGGAGAGCTAAGCCAGATTATGCAGCCTTGAAAGATATCTCCGCAACTGCACAGCAGGTGGAGATACGCTTACAACAATTCTGCTATTGGCCTATGCAATATGTCACACTCCGAAGAAGTAAAAGAGACTGGGGTAGTGTGACAACGAGTCATCCGGACTATATAAGATTTTATAATAGCCTTTGGCTAGTTGCTAATGATGTGATCATTGGAATCGCATTGGGGTCTTATATTATTGACAATTCCGCCTGGGTAGCAGAGACTATTAGTGATATCCTAAGCACTTATTCTATAGCTGCTCTACAAAGGACGATAAATTGGCTGATGGATTGGCCAGCTGGCTTGAAACTCAATACCGAACTGGCTGCTTTCCTTGGTGATTTGTTCTTATGGGTCATCGAACATTGGTCAAGTATGTTTATCGTCCTCTCCAACAAATAATGCATCAACTAACTCTCACAGGCTGTATTGAAGCTTTGCATCCAGTATTGCCTCATGTTATATGGGTTGTTGGTTTTTCCAGTTTTGCTGGAGCCAGCATGCCAATCGCCCTTTTCTCCGATCTACTCACAATCCTGACACTTCACATCTACTCTTTTTACATGGCTTCTGCACGTATATTCAATTGGCAGTATACTATCCTCCTGTCTTTATTTCAACTGTTTCGGGGCAAGAAGCATAACGTTCTTCGAAAACGTATCGATTCTTGCGATTATGACCTTGATCAACTATTGCTAGGCACGATTCTATTCACACTACTTTTCTTTCTCTTGCCTACAGTGGTTGTATTCTACCTGGCATTCGCATGTGCACGAATGGCAATTATCTCATTAAAAGCCATTTTAGATGCTTTACTTGCATGCCTAAATCATTTCCCCCTTTTTGCATTGATGTTACGACTTAAAGATTCGCAACGACTGCCAGGTATGTTCGCGCATAAATTTTACACACTACATCACACTAACATACAAAGGTGGCATACGATTTGAGCTTCGTGATACCCAAGAACTCGCAAGCCAAATACCTAACACTCCATCTCCTCCACCAACATCCTATATATATCTCAAAGTATGATGGTTCTCTTCCTACTCATCTGCCTTCAAATTATTAACAGAAATCTATAGTCCGTTCCCCTCACTTTCCGCGCCATGTTCCACCAATATTTCCAACTCGGACATCGTATCCGCAAACATTACGCTTCCCCCCGCGTCCTTCTCTGTCTCGCAACTGGCAAGTTCGTTCCGCCTATACATCGCAAAAATCTTTATTCGCTTCAATACAGCATGTTACCGGCTCGTCGAGCGGGTATTATGGATATGTGGTATGCGTTGACGACTAATTCTGATGAGGGAAAGGATAGGAGGAGAGGCAGTGCTGGGTGGTTGAATGGTGGTGTGGCCAGTTTGGCCAAGGGGAATGGAAATTTGAGGAGAGGAAATGGGTATATGGCTAGAAGGGGGGGGCATTAGAGATGATGTGGAATGAATGTAGATGTGGATGGGTGATTGATGGGCTCTTTTGTATATATGATTGGTTTTCCATAGGCCAAATGAGATGAGATGAGACGAGATGAGATGATCAAAAAAGAAGAATTGGAGGAGGTTTGAGATGATAGGTTTTGTATGTACTGTATATAGATACGGATTACTTAATGATGATATTTCCAGAGTCATCGGATTTTAGATCTTACACGTTCACAATCGAAGTAGACGAGTTCTTACATGGTTTGTGTGAAGCAAATTATAATTTTCTTTCGTTCATTGAATTTCGTGGCATTCATCAATTATCTACTGACTCCCATATTATCATATCCTTCTCTGATGTGCTATGTTTTGTCCACCATATCCCACCATGTCTTGTCCTGTGACCCGATTTTCCTCTCCGCCAAAAAGCATCAGCAACTTATAATACAAATCTCATCATCAAGCTCTCGTCTACAATTTCCCTTTGACTTCTCCCTTCACCTCGGCCGCCTTTCCCTTCGCGGCGCCCTTCAACTCCGCTGCCTTTCCTTTCGCCTGTCCGGCCAACTCGGACGCGGTGCCAGATGCGGAACCGGTGGCGGAGGAAGTGGTGCCTTGTGCTTCGGAGGCGGCGTTGGAGGCGGCGGTTTTGGCTTCGGAGGCGGAGAGGCCGGCTGCTTCTTTGGCTTTTTGGGTTGCGGTTTCTGTTTTGGGGGGGAGGGGGTTAGTTATTTGTGCTGTTGGCGTTTGGGTGTTTTGGTGTTTTGGTGGAGGGAAAGGGGATGGGATGGGAAAAGGGGAAAGGGGAAAGAGAGAGGGAGACATACGACCAACTTCAATACCATCTACGATCTTGCTCGCCACGGCTTTATCGACTTTGTGAACCGTTTCCTTGACGGCTTCGGTAGCAGATTTGCGAGAGATGAAGGTAGAAGAGAAGGGACGGCTGGCTTGGATGTGTAGTTGGGGGGTGAAGAGACGGGATTGGCGGGAGAGGGTGCGGGTTATGGATTGCATTTTGATATGTGGCGGGTGGTTATTTGGTTTGTGTGTGATTATTTCGTTGTTATTGTTATTGTCGTGTATTGGAAGTAGAAATGGAGGTTTGTAGATCGATTATTTATTTATGTGTCTGTACAGGAAGAATAGATGTAAATATGTAGGTACAAGAGGTAAGAAACCAGTATCGATATAAATACCAATCGAATCCTTCCCGCAAAGTAGGTAGCTCCAAGCAAGCTCGCAAGCAAGCAAGCAAGCAAGCAAGCTACGAGAAAGGTAAGAAGCAGCTTCCTTCCGTCACAATGACGTCACTTTCGTTCCACCGCATCGAACATCGTTCGAGCTCTGCTTCTAGCTACTAGCTACCTAGGGCAAATTACCCCCTCTTTTCCATCGATATCGAGAGATACTACTCGTACTAGGTAGATAGATACCTAAGTGTCATTACCTCATTTTTGGATTTGAGATGGGTACTGGGAGATCTGAGATCGGTTGTGAGATGAGTGGAATTCATGTGTATAGCTTTTACTTGAGTAGCTAGCTGCCTAGTACGTATATAGATGGAGCTTTGTGTATTGGATATAATTACGTGATGAGATGTAATAAAATAAAATAAAATCAAGTACTTCCTAGTAAGTAGATGTCATTTTATATATATATCTAGTATATATCCAACTTCAAATAAACAAGTACATTGTATCGTAGGGTAAAGTGTGTAGGTAGGTAAGGGATTATACCTACCTACCCAAGAGCGAGTGTTTGCAAATCAATCAATCAATCAATCAATCAATCAATCATGGTATTTTCCAATTATGCCATTTGCATTCCATCACACATGCAGAATCCGATCGCCAAATACTGGGTCTTCCAGGAGTTTTATTAGTAAGAAAGAAAGAAAGAAAGAGGATAGCTACCCAGCTTCCACTCTATGCATTCGCAAAGTAAATACTACACTCGTACGAGAAATTTATTTTGAATCATTATATTTCAAAAGAGGTAAAATAACAAGTATATATCATCGAAAATAAATAGATAACAAATTCGCATCCATAACACAAACAATTCTTCAATTTACAGATTAAAAGATCCATCCCCTCCACCCCGCTCATCTCTCTCTATACACAACATCCCCTCCCACTTCCGCCATCAAAACAGCCTCCCTACTCCCTCTACTCCCTCCTAAACCCCCAAAAATAAAAAGTAATGAACAGAGGGGGATTCGAACCCCCGCGGGCTGAGCCCATGAGAATGCTAATTGGTTTTACACCAATTAAGCTATGAAGCTTGAGTCACACGCCATAACCACTCGGCCATCTGTCCTATGAAGTGATTATTCATGATTCGTTGGATATGTTGTTCTTGTTTGCGTATATATTTTCAAACACAGAATAGTGGAGAGGAGGAATAAAGAATTTTTCTGAGTCTGTGGTGGGGAAGAGAATTGTGTGATTGGGTGGACAATATGATGTGATGTGGTGCATGAAATGATTGATATAAGACAAGTCAGTAGGTAATGTTCGAGTGATAAAATTAGAAATTCAAAGGCTTCTTAATTTTATAGTCCTTGACTTATTCTGTTTTGTTTAGATGAATGTAAATGTACAAATTGTATCGGGTAAATACTGAAAGCTGATACATAGATACCCCGGTATCGAAATCCAGATTGTAAGATAATATACTCCCTCCTAATGCACAATGCTGATGATATACGCCAGAAATGTGTATGCACACATGATTTGAACCCCAAACGCCCAACTTATTCCATATAAACATACAACCATCTTTCTTTCTCAATGCCCCATTCACCCTCCTCATCTCAACCCAGAACCATAAATCCCACACCTCCGATAACACCGGTTATTATAAGCGCCGTTAAGATTCCTGCTCCGGCTCTGTCGCCACTGGTGATTGGTGTTTCGACCGTTCCATCACTAACGGTACTACTTCCACTTCCACCTGCTGCATTTCCTACACTTGTTCCGCCCGTATTGTTTGTAACGAGATCGGCTGCTTGCCCAATAAGTGTTGCTTGGATGATACTCAAAGCGCTCATTTGTTCTCCGACTCCGTATTTTCCATCGTAAGTACTTCCTGCAGTCCAATGTTCTCCACATGCTCTTCCGCTAGCTCCTCCGTCGCATTGTTCTGCCGCGGCTTTAGCAGATGCGTTGATGTAAGTCATGATTGTTGGTGCGGTAAATGGAGCAAGTTTAGTTGTTCCCGCCATCCAACGAGAAAGGTAGGCTTTGAACGATTGTTCATCGTTATCGCAACCGACTGTAGTGGTTTCACATGCTGCTTCATACATAACATTATCTTTGAAGAATACACTACTAGCATTCAAGAGTCCTGCTGTTCGATTCTCCCAAACGGATGATCCGTTGGTCTGTAAGGCATGTGTTAGCAGAACTATATGGCTTGTCCGGGAGGTAGTTAGAGAGAAAGGGGGGGGACGAACGTAATTGTACATCATGGCAGCTCCGAAAAGATAGATACCATTGTTGTATGTCCATTGCACATGATCGAGAGAGCTGCAATTTGTTGTATCGGATGTACCATCATATACCTCCCAACCATCACCGATCAATCCAACACTTTGTTCCCACGTGAAGATCTTTTCAGCCCAATCGGCATATGATGAATTTCCAGTATATCTTGCCAACCTAGCTCCCAAGTTGAAGAAACATCCATTCGCAATACTGTTCTTATACTCGTATCCGGAGTTGAATGTAAAGATTTGCCATCTCAAACCACCTCCACAAGTTGATTCATCCCATCTAGCTGCCATATCGTTGAAAACTGCTTGCGCCATTGCTAACCAACCAGGTGTTCCACTATCCGGATTATCGAAATTAACCTCTGCAGCTGTCATAGCAGCCATTCCCCAAAATCCCTGATCATCATTTCCTTCGGTCTTTGTCTGGTTGATAGGCATGAAATCGTAATCGTTGCCAGCTTGATGTAGGAGAGCTTCTTTCACTTCGGCGTTGTAGGTAGTATCGCCAGTATAATACCAATATTCGACCATTACACCAAACATAGCTCCTGCCTCCCACCAATAATAGGGGTCAGGTAAGTTACCAGCGACATCTCCGGTATTATTTCCCGTATAGTATTTCATCATATCGTAGGCGACATCGGATGCAGCGGTTTTGATGCTTTCTGATCATTGTTATTCAATCAGTATGTTGCTCTTCACTCAACAGGAAACAACATAGAATATCAACATACCATCAGAGCTCAGATCAAGAGTAATTGCACTAACCAAACTACTACATGTTGAGCAAATAGCAGCAGTATATGCCAAGACTTTTCCTCCACTGATCCTCATCTTGGTCCTCTTCCGTGATTCAAACTAGAGTATAGATACCGTATATAACACTTCTTCGCCAATCACAATAGCAAAACGGGGAGATCCGATCAATTCCAGATGTGCAAACGATTCTGCCAAACGAGAGTATAAGATAAAATAGGCCGGATCGCTGAGGTATAAGAAGAAAAGCGTACTATCTTGCCATCAAGTCGAAAAGAAACGAAGTCTATTCTATTCTCCAGAGCTTCAAAGTGAGGAGAGACATACTTCCTACTACACTTACCTCTAGTTCCGTAATAACAAAACTCCTGGTCCACTGTTCTGTTTTTGACATACGGCCCATGGCAAGTCTTCTTTGGTTTCTTCCTTTTAATAGACCTTGCGCGTCAGTCACATCCCAGTGGATTTCAAAACACTATTTTCAGAATCTTATGGATCCACCAGCGTTTTCCCTGGGAGGAAAACTAAAGACTCAGAGAGATTTGGAAACCTATGGGCTGAAAGGGCAATGCCTGGTTCATAACAAAATGAATAATGGGTACGCATTGGCTTACGCGGTGGGTACGTCATCCTTGTTGGTTCACGTTAAATTGATTCCCCGGTGGCCCTCATCTCCTCGAGACATCCAAAGTTTGCTGGTATCCCACCGTCGTGAATTGAGTATCAAATCTTTCAAACGTGCCACTTTTGATCTTGATATAAAACTACGAAAAAGCAATAACGGACGATGATAGAAGCCAAGCCATAATTGTCTTGGATTGCGATGCTTAGTTTGGTCCAAGTCAAGAGAGTAATCCTCCGTTTTTTCTTGATGAAGCTTGAAAAAAGCTTGTCTCCACCAAGTACCGACAAGCAGCCGTTAATGGCGGAGATTGGCAGCAAGGATAATCACTTAGGAAATAGATACGAGATTGTGTGGCTAATCACGTGGAAGCGAATGAAAAGGGGCTCAAGTGGTCGAGAACTTATTTGTTGATGAAAGACCACTTGGAGTATTCCTTACTCGTTCATGTTTGGTTGTGTTCTACTTTCTCATAAGAAGTATCTTGAACTTCAGATTTACGATGCACACCAAGAACAACGTTGAAACTTCGAAATCACCTTAATGATTTTATCTTGGCGATCTTCCCATGACCCCACAGCAACTTTGTCATGATTTTCATGCAGCCGCTCATGTGACCAGACTTTGTCTTCCGTTGGATTCAATTATCATTTGATAACCACAGTTCTATGCGATGATACTTCGTATCATCTGCGCCCATCAACAATGTCATGCTCCTTGATAAAATACGTGGTGATATTACATACGGTGATAACATCACGAATAGTCAGGTGCTCATGACAAGATGTAGGAAGATTTGTAATACGATGTTGCCAATGCTTGGTAGAACAGTATGTAAATAACATACAAGAATGTGGTCTTTCTTCAATGGACAGAGCAGAGTTGCTCTTTGGTTAATTCTTCCCATCAATCAATCACCTGACAAACAATTGCTATATCCACGGACGTTGGGTGTGTAAACTTCGCAGTTACAATTGTGGTTGTGGAAGCTACGATGGCGCAATCATGCAAAGCCAAGAAAAGTACCTTGCTGGTTAAATGGTCAAACCGTAAACAAAGTCCATTATCTTGTGATTCACAATATTTTTTGGACGTTCACGCTCAGCAACCTTGTTGGGTTCAATATCATCAAGGTACTTA